TGCTTCGGCAACGGGAAGTGAAGGAATTTGTGATTATGGGTTATAGAAAAGGTTAGATGGAAGATCACAGATAAAGGGGAGGGAAGATGCCTTGAGCAATAGAGTAGTAAGATGTAGTATTACTAGAGGACGCACCGAGATATCAGGTAGCTCTAGGATCGGGCATAGTGTGATGCGCTACGTAGAGGTTCTGGGACGAGCTTACCTACCTACCTAGTACGCGCCCGGGTGCTGGTAGCAGTCACGTCACGTGCTAACGCGTATGTGACACACCTCCCCCCAAAGCGACGCGTTCGCTTTATTGACTTTCTCCTCCACATCTCCACGTACCGAGACCAGGCCATGCAACAGCCGCGATCCGCTCATGCCACTCGAGGCCTCTGTTCCATCCTCTCGTATCATTGCCCGATTAATGCCGACCCGAACAACAACAAGCTCCTTCATTGTCCGCCAGGACTTCACCTATTGCGCATCGCCTTCCCCACAGTTCTCCGACTCTCGTTTTCCGTCAGGAACGTCTAACGCAGACCTCTCCTCATGGCCGGATGACCCGATGTGCCGCTCTCGAGCCTGTAACAGGACCTCGCTGCCAGCCGCAATTGGATTTTTCGTCGTCATTTGCTGTCGGTCACCAGACAGCCCGGCCGGATAGGAGAGAACGAGCTTCGGAACTTAACCCTAGCTATACGTCTGGTTCGCTCAAGTCTTGCGCTTCTGTCGTCCGAACCGGCTTCTATATTGGCTAGGAGAACCGCTGAAACTATGCCCGCTGCACAAGCGGGACGATTGAGGTTGGAGACCCGTGCCGATGGACTGCTGGGGAGGGCACTCCAGTCACCGCTTGCGGTGCGCGAGAGGGTTTATGCTATGAGTCGTCTGGTAAGAGCCTCTGGTGAGGTCGCTCGTCAGCTCTACCCGCTGGAACCCGAACAATGGTCACCAAAAGGCCGTGCAGATGATATTCACAGTGATGGGCTGGCGGGAGGACGCTGATCACCCAAGAGGCTGTGGCGTGGAGCGTGTACAAGAACGGAGTTGAGCACAAAGTTTGGCTACATACAGACAGTCGCGGGTTTTCATTCTTTCCACTCCGTTGGATTTGCCTTGCCGGAATGCGCCTTGGCGCTGCGAGGATCTTTCGGCTACAAACAGAAATCCAACCCGACTGTCACCCCCGATTTTCGCCGCTTTGCCAAAGCTCTCGGTCCCCCGTACTTTACACAGCTCCTGTCGCCCTCCGGGGAAGTCTTTGGGCCCACCCTGCCACTCATTCACTGAGGTCACTGCACCGCACCACAGCAACAGCTCCCGGTGTGTGATGCTTCTTGCATCTGGCCTCGCCGAGCGCATTAGCCTGCTGCTGTGGGCTCCGTCCCACCGCTTGCGGGACGCCAGAAAATAGTCCAAGTTCTTCGGAACGCGGATCTGTTCCTCCGGTTGTCCTGAAGTACGGACCATCAGAGATGAAAGCGTGGTTTTTATGGATGTCTTTTGTCCACGCGGAACGCCCTTCAGACCCTTCAGGGTGCTCTTGGAGCGGATACAAAAACTGGTCCCCGTCGGCAGCGCACTGCAAACGGAAGGAGCTTGAGTTCGTGGACAGCCACTTCGGAAAGGAATGCAGAGTGAGCGGGTGCCGACGACGGTATCATGATGATCCTGGCACACGCTAGGCTTTTCCAAACAACAGCGGGGATTCATGGTCCCTTTGTCTCGCTTGATTTGGGAGCAAAGCCCGGGACCCAGCCTGCGTTGGAGTCAAAGTTTTGTACTTGTCCGGCTTTGTGATCAATCCGCTCGGGACTTGGGTGGACGGCTTCCTTGCTGACGTGCGGACGAAAATTGGAGGAGGGGACAGGCCCCGAGGTTGATGGCAGTCCCTGGCTGTTCCTTGCTCCAGCAATGGCGTGAGGACAGCCCTCTTCACCGGAGGAGATAAGTCACTCGAGATTTAGTCGATGAGAACCCTGCTAACTCTTCTGCAGTATGTTGACGCAGTACGCTACGCCGATACCCCCTGAGTAACCAGCGGCGGCAACACGCAACGAGCGCTGCCGCAAGCGTGGGTGCTTGCCTCCCCACGAATATAATGACCGAGGGTTGCAAATGTGCGTGATTCAAACGTGCACGTATGATCAGCTGACTCACTTGGCGCCCTTCCTTGGGTCGCCGTTCTGTGCAGCATGGATAAGGCAGACAGTCGATCTCATCTGAAGCAATATGTCTACCAAACTTTTCACATTATCCTCGCAGGTTCGTCCGAGGCACAGGATGCTGCGCCCGCCGCTCTTCCACGCCTAGCTCAATAGTCTGTTGTTGGTCTGCGCTCCGTACCGAAACCTCCCATGCATACCGTCTGGAGGGGGTTTGACCGTTTCTCGAAGAGTCCATGTTGTGGAGTTGTTTGTGGGTGCTACCATCTCCATCAAGGTGTATTGGAGGACGCCGTCGCGAGTATCGGGTACGATGATATCCCAGGCACCGCTCCCAGCGGACTGACGGACTTTGGACGGCGACGCTGGCTCGTTGTCCCGTCCTTCAGACTTGAGGAGCCGTCAGTAAACAAGCATCCTTTCGGTTTTTGTTGCGACCTACAAGGCATTTGGCACAGGGTGCGTTCTTGACCCAGACCCAGTTCTGGCAAGGATCTTCGTAGTAAAAATACTTGCAACGGAACTTGTAGAACCCTCCGCCGCCGCTCATGATGTTTTGCGTCCTTCCGAGGTTGAGGGGAAATATCTGGCTGGCTGACTGTGGAGAGCCGGTTCTGTTTTGATATGGAGCTTGCGAGTTTCTATGAACACTGTCGATGTCTGCGTGTGATCCTCGCGGCAAGAGCTTCGCATACCTTAGTGAGTTGCGCACGCCCTATATCAATGATTCCTGACAAAAAGACCTTGGATCAAATCATACACTATCGCGCAACGGCAAGGGCCGCTTTCAGACCTAGTGAAACAAGGATATCCCCTGATGAACACTTGTAATACTTATCGCAGCTATACTTGCGTACACGCGAGTTGCGTGTGCGTCGTCTAATGTGGTCGCACCACAGCCATTCAGTCATCCGGGGCCCGTCGTGGGGCATGCTTGTGTTCATCTGCCTAGGAGAGATGCCAGGGATTGCCCCTTGAGCATCCTAGTACGAATTTTCGAGTCTTTGAACATCCCCACAGCCTGATTTTACACTGGCAGTAACGGTAAAAGTACAACGTAGGTGGGACAGAGATGTGTCCATGTCGTGTCGGCCACTAAGCTTACCTATAGTAGGTAGGACGGACCCTGGCCGATACCCCCCTCGTCTGCAGATACGTAGTGTCATCAGGAGCATAACTTCCACCACTCCTGGCCATTGCTCGAATGCTTTTGTAGTGGGCACAGAAGGGGGTGGTGCATGCGCCTTTGTTAAAACTTAGTTTCCCTCCTCGTCATCAGCGCGGCAGCCGCCTGGACGCTCGGACGACGCAACGTCGAGTCGCTGCTGCACGACATCGGGTGTTCAGCGCGCTGCTTCCGGCTTGCAGTACCAGCCCAAGCTGACATGGGGTGTGTCTTACACTACGGGGCATGTCTCGCTACTAATACTACATACGTGTGGACTCTTGAACCGAGGATCGACCGTCACATGATGCGCCTCGCAAGGCTCTGACGGAACAGATATGTCTGAAGACTCCAGAGTAAATTGTACGTATGCACGGTTCGCCAGATTGGATCGTGGCTGAGAAACTGATTGATGATTTGATCACGCCACATAGCCGTCACTCGGCACTATTACCTTATTCGACTCCGGTGCAAGGTAGTAGGGGGGCCAGGGGACTAGGGGTGTGGTGTCCCTGATGCTCGCTGGCGAGGTCCGCGAGGACGATGAAAGATGACATGTCTGATTCTGACCCTACGAGCCCAGCAACCAGGTACTTGGTCACCACCAACAATCTGTCCGAACAACACAAGTACCTATCATGGCAACCATGCGCGTGGATGTGACAAATCCTGAACACTTCCCAACACACAGCTGGTCTGGGTAGCATCGTTGCCTTCATGTTGGCAACCACTGAATGTGTGCCCACATGAAGCAAACGATTGCCGACTGGTGCCCCTCGGCTGGATCATACCACAAGCAAGCAAGAATCTCGTCAACTACTCGGGTATTTTTCTCTCGACGTGCAGTGTACATGTTATCTCCACGTTGAAACATGCACGCAGCGGCCGGTTGGATCCCAGCCACTGAGGCTGAACATCCACTACTATCCACTACTGTATGCTGCGCAACATATCACTCCCCGACTCTCTCGTGCCTCCTTGAGAACTAGGACAGACGAGGAAACGAGATAACAAGCCGGACCAGATTTTCCCGGCCGTTGTCTGAGTGAGGCGTCTATCTTTGAAGCTCCGATCTGTCACAGTCAATCGTGAGCTACAACCGTAATAGTATGGACAGGCGATCGCTTTCCCCGATCTTGGAGAATGCAGCAGCGATGACACCATCGACGAACAGCGAGAGAAGACGCTGGATGGCGGCAAGGCGTAGTGAGTGAGTACATTGATAAACTTGCAACGACTGTTCAAGAGGGTTGCAAGCCGCAATCTCAAAAAAGATCAGTGCAGTTTCAGATCTCGCCCATCTTGCGACCTGGGCCAGTGATCGAACCGAAAGCCCGGGAGCTGGTCCGCACTCCGCAAAGGGCATATCAGCCTAAGTTGGGGCGGAGTTTACGTCCTTGGCACATTGTACTGAAAGACAAAGAGGTTTTTGCATGTGCTCCCTGTTGTAGATATGGCCAGATGCAGAACGGCACTCAGCTGGCCCAGCAGTCTAAGAAAAACCATCTATTGCGACGAGCCCTGTGCCGCTGTCAACAAGCCTTCTCCGACATCGCATGACATACATAGTTACGCCTTGACACCATTCTATTGTTTCCATAAGTTCCTGTACCTTTGCGCTGTAAATAGGCGAGCGCGTAGCAATTCAGCTCTCGTTATAATAGCAGCGCATGGGTTGCTCTTCACCGATCACTCTTCATCGCAGCCTTTCGGCGCTTCTTCTCAGCCGCTCTCATCAGAGATCGCTTCACATCGCCATCATCGAAAGTTTCGAGATCGTAGTACGTCGGGGCAATTTCCTGGGACCAATGTTAGCGGACGAGCACAAGACACACTTGAAGAAGAAAAAATATACCATGAGCCACTCAGGACGAATGCCCGTGCACGTGCGAATGTACTGCTTCGAAGTGAGGACGAACTCGTTATAGAGGACCCAATCGTATTCAGTACGAAGCACCGTGGAAGGGTGGATGAGAACAGCCTGATCGTCTTTGACGGTGCGGTACACCTTTCCGGATGATTCCTTCATGGCCACCTGCATGAAGAATCCAGAGAGGAGTGCGCGACGAATGTTGTTGTAATAATTCTTGTCTTCGAACGGTGTTGACACGAGCTCGAGACCGTGTGTCTCCATGATACGTTTCAGCTGAGCACGCACATTGTCAGCGCTAGATAAGTGGCGGAAAGACAAAAAGTGCTCGTGGCACCACTGCTTGGCGCCGTGCGAGTCGTTCACCGACTGCCCTTTGAAGGCATGGTAGGCGTTGAGCAGCGTGAGATGATCACCGTCAGGGTGGGCGAAATGCGATTTCATCTCATCGGCACGCTTGCGGTTGTTGGCTGGCCGGACGAAGATTTGCGGAACAGATAGCAGAGACGTGATGGACAGAATTTCGTTGGAGCAGTAGAACTCCGGGGAGGAGATGAGCATGACCGCCAAAGCTGGATCGAGAGGGAACTCGGAGGCCAGTCCACCGAGAGTGGTGAGCTCGCCATCGTCATCCAAGCAGGCCAGGTAGTTCAGTTCCTCCAACGCTCGCATCATGGTCTCGGGCGCCGGGGGGTCCATCAGGTCAAAGTGCACCAGATCCTCCACGCCCAGCTTCTTCAGCTCAAGCACCGTGTTGGCCAGGTTGGAGCGCAGAATCTCAGGATATGTAGCCTCGATGAGCTCCTTCTTGAAAGCCTTCTCGGTGTATAACCTGAAGCACTTTCCTGGCTTGGTTCGGCCGGCACGACCGGCACGCTGCTGCGCGGAGGCCTTGGAGATGGGCGAGACAAGGAGCGACTCGACTCGGATGCGCGGGTTGTAGATCTTTTGCTTGCTGAAACCTGGGTCCACGACATACACGATGCCATCGATGGTCAAACTGGTCTCGGCAATGTTGGTGGACACAATGCATTTGCGGCCTGGCTTTCCTCCCTTCCTCAATGGTGGAGGCGCCTTGTCGAAGATGCGCTGTTGCTGTTGGGGCGGCAGAGTACCATAGAGGGGATACACAACCAAGGGGCCGGCATCTACCTCCCGCTGCAGCTCATCAGCCTCCATCGAAATCTTTCGGCAGGCATCTTCAATCTCATCTTCTCCGGTCAAGAACAGCAAGATGTCACCCTCTGGTTCGGAGGCGTGGATCTGCAGCACAGTCCGGATGGCAGCTTCGACGTAGTCCCGCTCGGGCTCGGGCGTGTAGAAGATCTCGACTGGGTGCGTTCGTCCGGGGACAGCCAGCAGGGGCGCGTCGTTGAAGTACCGCTGGAACTTCTGTGCGTCAAGCGTGGCGGACATGATGATGATCTTGAGATCGGGCCGCCGGGCAGCGATCTGCTTGAGCAACGCCATGAGAATGTCTGTGGCGAGCGTACGTTCGTGGGCCTCGTCGAGGATGATGCAGCCGTACCGGCTCATCTCGTGGTCGTGCATGGCTTCGCGCAGAAGCATACCGTCCGTCATGTACTTGAGCATCGTCTTGGGGCCCGTCATGTCCTCGAAACGGATGCTGTAACCAACCTCCTCTCCCAGCTTCACATCCATCTCGTCAGCAACACGCTGCGCGACTGACATGGCAGCCACACGGCGAGGCTGTGTACAGGCCACCATCTTCCCCGACAGATTGGGTAGTTCGTCGTACACCACATATTGGGGGATCTGTGTCGTCTTTCCGGAACCTGTTTCTCCGACGAACACGAGGATCTGCGTGGAATGATATTTCTCGAGGAACTCCTGGCGCTGCTTGTGCACGGGCAGATCACGCCTCGTCTCGAGGATCTGGAAGTACTTTTGGGAGTGTGGCTGTCCGGTGAAGGCGTTATCGCTCAGGTTCTCAACTTTGGAGTGTTGTTCAGCGGTCGTCTTGCGCGGCTGGAAGCCGGCAAAGGGCGAGTCGGCGGATGGGACGCCATGGTGGCTCTTGCCGTTGCCCTGCTGCCTGTGCGCGAGGTAGGGATTGTATGATTCGTCTTCATCCATGTCGTTGTCTTTGCGAGCCTTCTTTCGCGATGAGTCGTCGGCTTCGGCGCTGATTCGCTTACTAGATCTCAAATCGGACATGCTGGCCAAGATGATGCGCTGACTTTCGACTTTGTAGAGAGCGACGGAAGACAGTAGCGACCGACGAAGTTGCCCCGACGATTGTCAACGCTGGGCAAATTTTTGGCGGGATGGTTCTTATCGATAGGACTGGACTCTTTGACATGGGACAGTGCATACGGGTATAAAACGTACTGTGCTTCGGCGCTTGATACGTACTTCGTATGGCACAGCTCGCAATAGCCAAGTATCAGCTAGCATTTAATAAATACCAATAGGACAACAAACATCTGTATCTTTCTTGATTTTGTCTTCTCTAAATTGCTGATCGAAAATATTACTTGCTGACATTCCCATGAAGCGATATGATGGATCTCCTAATTCAATGTTTATCCATGCCGCGTAGCTGAGCACCATTCTTCCTTCCACTAATAAATAAACCACTCAAACCAATCGACAGGCACTTTTGATCCTTTCGAGATAAATCAGACCCTTTGAGGTCACCTCAATGGGTGAGATTGGCATCGTTGTCGGATAATTTGGACACCATCTAGGGTAAGTAGTTATCACCTGGGTACTAGGTAAGACCAAGAGGCATACGTAGTTGTAGCAACTTGCAATGCTCCAGAACCACTTACATGCCCATTGAACATGGGCACGATAGTACCAAGGAACGTGGCTTCGCGCCTTCATGTCAAATCGCATCGTAACCACGGGGTGGTCGGACGCATGCATGCATAGATATATTGTCCCTTGCGTCTCGTTGAACACAGGAAGCTCCAGTCGCACTGTGCCATTCTGCAATTGCTCTCATGGGCTACACCCTCTCACACATAAGCGATAATATGATCTGATCTTTTGTGACTGCGGAAACCTGTCAGGAACCATCCACCAGCAGCTGTAAGGCCGCACAATAAGAGGTCGTCGCATTGTGTTTTTCATTGCTCACCAAAAACCTTCCATTCCACTCAGCTTTTGCACGGCTTCACGGACCCTGAAAACTCTACCCACCACTCAAGAGTCGCCTACAGCTCGCTCGAGAATAGCAGAATGGCTTCAGGCGATGCTGGGTCCTTTGACCCCCTAGTCTTTGCAGCTCAACGGCCGAATTTCCAAATTGGACAGCACGACTCAAGGAGACAGGCCCCTCTGTCTGACTTGCAATATGGCTATCTGCTGAATCAAGGAGTAAGAAAGCACAATAGCCCTTGCGAATACTTGGCCCCTCTGACACGAAAGCAGATTAACTTCGTCACAACTCCCATCACAAACAAAAACTTCAGAAAACGCGTCTTCGCCTTGGTAGAGAAGCACCTCTCCCTGCTGCGAAACTCGGAGAAATCGGGGACGACCACTACCTCCGCACTGGCTGAGCCTGTTCTGCCACCTCTCACCCCTGAGGATACCAGCGTCTTTCCCAGTGCATCTGTGAACACGTACACGGGCTTCATCAGCCCTTGGATCGACCTTGCCTCTCCTAACCCCATCATCGCGAGCATCTCTCGGCAGGTCTTGAACCTCGAAATCAACTATGCCAATTTCACTGGCCTGAGAACTCTCGTTCTGCCGGGCCCATTGCGGGACGCGTCAAAGAATGGCGGCACCCAAGGTCTCGCTCAGTACTCTCGCGCTGTCCGCGAGGCACTTACCGTGGGGAGTCGGTTGACTTTCTTGGTTCACATGCCCATGTACCGCGAGCCTGGGACAGAGCAGACCGAGTCGCTATCATCGCTCGACAAGGACTTGCCGTCCCAAGAAGCCGAGAAGAATGTTGACATCTACACATCCTGGGACTCCTGGAATCACATTCGTGGGATATGCGATTATAATCTGCGACTGTTTGTTGGTAAGTCGCCCCCCTGCTTGCAAGATGGCCGTTTCTAATCCCAGCATAGCCCTTCAGATGCCCAGGAAACTACCCGAGAAGAACTTGCAAGACCGATGGTTCGCTGAGCCTCTTCATTATCTGACCCTGGGTCCTCAAGTTTTCCAAAAGAACCAAAGTGGGTATTCTAGCCTCACGAAACACCACCAGCGGCTCATCTTCGATTATATGCGCTTGAAGAATTACCCGTGGCTGTTGCTATGCGATGTCGGACCCGATGTATCTGGTATTGACACGAGCGCTGGGTCCTTCGCCGACAAGGGCGTGGACATCTCTTCCAAAGATCAGTTCCCTAGCCTGTCCGAGTCTCAGAATGCCCCTCAGCCCTCTTTCAGCACAAGGGCACCTAGTGACCATTTGGACTACGTCAAATGGCTCGAGTCACAACAGCCACCTCTGACGTACCTCGAATCGGACACGCTCACGAGCTTCCAGGACTGGCTCCAGTCGCCTCTACAACCGTTGTCTGATAATCTGGAGTCCGCAACGTATGAGGTATTCGAGGGAGACCCAGTGAAGTACGAACAGTATGAGTTTGCTTGCATAGAAGCACTTTCGGAGTGGAGGGAACTGAAGAAACCAACATCGAAAGAAGGCGTGGTCGTTATAGCCGTGGCTGGGTCTGGCAGAGGGCCCCTGGTCACTCGCGCCCTTCGAGCCGCCGAAGCTACCGGCGTTACAGTGGAGGTCTGGGCGGTCGAGAAGAATCCCAACGCATATGTGTATCTTTTGCGCATGAACGAGACCGTCTGGGAGGGGAAAGTCAATGTCGTTAAGGCTGACATGCGAGCCTGGAAGGGACCGGTGATCTCGACCACGGCGGAGGCTGGACCGGTATATGGCAAGGTCGACATCCTCATCTCTGAATTGCTCGGTTCCTTTGGCGACAATGAACTGTCACCCGAGTGTCTGGATGGTATCCAGCACGTCATGGCCAAGCCTTATGGCATTTCGGTCCCAAGCGCCTACACCGCTCACTTCAGTCCGATTGCGACGCCAAAGCTGTACGCTGACATCTTGTCACGGTCTGCAACAGACGAGACTGCTTTCGACACGCCATGGGTTGTTCACCTATATGCCCTCCACTTTGTCTCGCAGAAAGTGCCTGGGCATGCGCGGATTCAAGAGGCTTGGGAGTTCACGCATCCAATTCCAGAGGATACTCTCCAGTCTGTCGAGGCAAGGCGCTCAGGGGGTGTTGTTGGTGGTGGTGGCGGCAGCATGGCTGGAGCAGCCGGTGCGAATGACCACAACTCGCGCTACTGCCATCGAACATTTGTATGCCCGACTCGCGGTGTGATGCATGGTTTGGCAGGGTATTTCGAATCGACGCTGTACGAGTCGCAGTCAGAGGCGACACGGGGTCAGAAAGTTGAGATCAGCACGCACCCTGATTACATTGAGCAGAAGAGCAAGGACATGATATCGTGGTTTCCTATCTTCTTTCCTCTCAAGGTATGTCACTGCACCACGCAATGCGTGTTCCCTCGCTCACATGGACAGAAACCTCTCTACTTCCCTGGTGATACTGAGCTTGAGATCAGCATGTGGAGGCAGACTGATGATACTAAAGTCTGGTACGAGTGGCTCGTAGAAGCGTGGACATGGGTTGGCCCATCATCAAGGATTAAAGTAGCCTCGTCTGAGCTGTGTAGCAGCCGCAAGGTAGCCTGCTTGATGTAGGCAGTCGTGGATGATTGGAGAACAATGACGTCCGGGTCTTCGGCATGAAGCTGTCCGAATTGGTGCCTTAGTTTATCCCTGCCATCAAAGGCCGATATCGTCGTCGGGGGCCGCCGATCGCTCACTGTATTTTGCTTGAGTTAAGAATCCACCAAAAACTACGTAGCAGGTCTCGCACGGACAACATCCGCGACCGCACACAGACACTTCACACCAGCCACACCCAGCGCGAGAACTCACATCGGATACGCGCCGAAGTAGTCACCCCCTTCGCAACTCTTTACGTAGCCGAGGCAGCAACTTGGCACCTCCATCAGGAGGTTAGCGCAGCTCTATGCGGCTCCCGATCCGAAGCACCCTCCTCAGATCGGCAATGGTGCCCCGCAAACTCTCAACGGCCAACCCCTCCTCGTCCGGTACATCATCGTCTATAAATCGTCTAGCCCAGGTATCGCAGCATCTCAGTGGCACGTCGAACCCATTGCCACTATCTCAAAACCAGAGCCGAAACTTCGCGACCATGTCTTCGCAGCCCGCCCATCCCACTCTGCTCATCCCGGGCCCTATCGAGTTCGACGATGCTGTCCTTCAGTCCATGAGCCACTACAGGTAGGCTCGTCCCCAGACACTACTACCCCTACCACAGGAGCTAACTTTGGTCTTTCATAGCGAGAGCCACGTTGGCCCTGCGTTCGTTGCGACCTTTGGCGAGACCCTCACACAGCTGCGTCAGCTCTTCCAGTCGACCGATGCCTCTGCGCAACCCTACATCATCTCCGGCTCGGGCACCTTGGGCTGGGATCTCGTGGCAGCCAACTTGGTCGAGGCTGGTGAGAACGCGCTCGTGCTCAGCACTGGATACTTTGGCGATGCTTTCGCAGATTGCCTGACAACCTACGGCGCCGACGTGACGAAACTCGACGGAGCAGTCGGTGGACGCCCCCAGCTACCCGAAATTGAGAAGGCTCTGTCGCAAAAGAAATACAAAATCCTCACAGTCACGCACGTGGATACTTCGACGGGTGTTCTGAGCGAGCTCAAGGACCTCACCGCCACCGTGAAAAGGGTGTCGCCCGAAACTCTGGTCATTGTGGATGGTGTGTGCAGCGTCGCATGCGAAGAGATTGCGTTCGACGAATGGGGCCTGGATGGTGTCATCACAGCCAGCCAGAAGGCCATCGGATGTCCCGCTGGTCTGTCGATATCATTCTTCAGCGGCAGGGCGATGCAAGCCTTTGAGAAGAGGAAGACGTCTCCGGCATCCTACTTTGCGTCAATGAAGAACTGGACACCCATCATGAAGAACTACGAGGCCAAGAAGCCCTCGTACTTTGCGACGCCTTCGCCACAGCTCGTCCACGCGCTCAACACGGCGTTGAAGCAGATTCTCGCCAAACCCCTGTCCGAGCGCTTCGCGCGCCACACCGAGGTGTCAGACAAGGTCAAGAAGGCAGTCCAGGATCTCGGCCTCCAGGTTGTGGCAACAAAGCCCGAGGACCAAGCACATGCCATGACGGCCATATATCTACCCGAGAATGTGAAGATTCCCGACATTCTGCCCAAGCTTGCTGGGAAGGGTGTTGTTTTTGCGGGAGGCATTCACAAGGCTATTGCCACCAAGTATATTCGTTTCGGACACATGGGTGTGAGCGTGACAGACCCCAACCGCAGGGACATTGACCACGCGCTTGAAGCGCTGAAGTCGAGTCTGTCGGAGTGTGGCTACCAGAAAGCATAGAGTTGCGGAAACGTGTAATGAGATGAATAAATCCATGCCCTCGTGGCTTGTTCCTGCAGAAGGAGAAAATAGACAGACAGAAGCGGCGTGTCCCATGACCTCCGATGCCGAGTATGTGGAGCAGCATGTTCATGTCCTAAGGTAGCTGGATTCACATCAACACCCATGTCACATTGCCTCGCCTTTGAAAGCCAAAGAAACACTAGACTAGGAGCCAGAGGCAGACATGTGAGTAACGTATTCGGACCCTCGTCTTGATGTGTACAGCACAACAATATCAGATATCCCAACAGGAGTCATTCGATCAGGGTGGGGTCCCTGGTCACTGTTCGTGAAGGTTCAAGCGGATGTACCGGTACTTGACCCAGGTCGTCATGGTAGCGTATCATGACATTGTTGACATGGATGACCCCGCACTTGAGCTCTCAAGCTCGACGCACTTACGCCTACTGGAGGCCCGGTATTGCGGTGACAGCTGGAAACAGGTACCAGAACCTCGAGTTGTCCAGTGCTGGAGGCTGTCTGATAGTAGCTGAACGACATGGGCTGGAGCACTGCGATCCCCTCCTCCCAGCAATTGCAGCGACCGACCCCGCTATCTTGCCCAGTGAATGGAGCTGGCAGCTGCCGGAGTCCACTGTGAGGTGAGCTTTTCAAAGTTCCTCTCTTCCAGTCCCGTCCCGTCCTCGACTCCGTCGGTTTCCAGCCTCTCTGCCTTCGCAACCTCTACTACTTTGTCTCTTCAAGATTGGATCTTGCGTTCTATTGGCTTTCACGTAGCCTTTCTACACTCACCCGCCTGGTGTTTGCTGGTACTGCAAGTGCAGAGGAGAACCTTCCGCCAGCAGCACGACCCCAGGCAACAATACTTTCCGTCACACTGGAACTCTTTTCGCCGCCTCGTTTGCTTTCAACTCCCCCACTTCATCACCAACACGCGCCGGCTTCGTCCACCATGGCGCCCAGCATCGAGGAACTCGACGCGACTGTGCGCACCTTTTTCGAAGGTCGCGGAGAACAGGTTTGCCTACGCCACCTATATACCGAAAATCTCGTGCTAACGACCGTATTTCCAGCAAAAAGCTGCCCAGAATGCTCTCAACCAAGTGGGTTATCTGCCACCCTCCCCGCCCGAACGACGACTGACACCATATCTAGTTCAAAGAAGACCCCGATGCGTGGTTGATGGTCGACAAGATTCTTTCGGATGCGCAGTATCCTCAAACCAAGTGTATGGACGCGTAGACATGGGCGGAGCTTGGACGGTAGCGCTAACGTCAAGCAGACATCGGTCTCCAGGTCCTCGACAATGTGATCATGACGCGATGGAAAGTCCTGCCTCGAGATCAGTGCCAGGGTATCCGCAACTTCATTGTCCAGTTCATCATCCAGTGCTCCAGCAGCGAAGAGTCGTTACGAACCCAAAAGACCCTTCTCAACAAGCTCAACCTAGTTCTCATCTCGGTGCTGAAGCAAGAATGGCCTCACAACTGGCCAACGTTTATCAACGAAATCATCTCGTCCTGCCACTCGAGTCTGTCTATCTGCGAAAACAACATGATTATTCTGCGTCTCCTGTCCGAGGAGGTTTTCGATTACTCGGCCGAGCAGATGACATCGACAAAGACGAGGAGTCTCAAGCAGACCATGTGTGCCGAGTTCTCACAGATCTTCCAACTTTGCCAAGAGGTCCTTAACACGGCCACTCAGCCTAGCTTGGTCAAGGCAACACTCGAGACGCTGCTCCGTTTTTGCAACTGGATCCCCCTTGGCTACATCTTCGAAACGCCGCTCATCGAGACTCTGCGCACCCGCTTTTTGCCCACGCCGGAGTTCAGGAATGTTACACTGCAAGTGCTGACGGAGATTGGCGGCTTGCAGACCGGAGGCCCGGGACAGCCCAATTCGTACGACGAAGAGCTGGTCAAGATGTTCACCGAGGTTCTCAGCACGATTGCGGATATCATCCCAGTATCTCTCGACCTCAAGACAACATATCCTAGCAGTAATTCGCGGGATCAGGAGTTTGTGCAGAATCTTGCGCTGTTTCTGTGCAACTTCTTCAGCTACCACTTGGTCGTATGTCTCGTGGACTCACGCTCCCCAGTCAGCCTCGCTAACCACGATTTTTAGCTTATTGAGAACCTACCGAATCGCGATTTCCTCATGCATGGTCACTATTACTTGATTCGAATCTCGCAGATCGATGACCGCGAGATCTTCAAGATCTGCCTCGACTACTGGCTGAAGATGGTCCAAGAGCTGTACGAGGAGATGCAGTCTCTACCGCTCAACGACTCGAGTGCTTTGCAGGCAATGGGAGGATCTGTTTCGGGCAGTGGCGCCCCAGCACCCAGCGTCCTGGCCAACTACCCTCTCCGCAAACACAAGTACAACGAGATTCTGTCGAACCTGCGAGTTGTCATGATTGAGAAAATGGTGCGACCTGAAGAGGTGCTCATTGTGGAAAACGACGAGGGCGAAATTGTGCGCGAGTTTGTCAAGGAGAGTGACACGGTCCAGCTGTACAAGACGATCCGCGAGTGCCTTGTGTACCTGACGCACTTGGATGTGGTCGACACGGAATCTATCATGACCGAGAAGCTGGCGCGCCAAGTGGACGGCACGGAGTGGTCGTGGCACAACTGCAACGTTCTTTGCTGGGCGATTGGATCCATTTCGCTTGCGATGAACGAAGAGACCGAGAAGCGGTTTCTGGTCACGGTCATCAAAGATCTCCTGGGCCTGACGGAGATGAAGCGCGGCAAGGACAACAAAGCGGTCGTGGCCAGTAACATTATGTACATTGTCGGCCAGTACCCCCGTTTCCTGAAAGCCCACTGGAAGTTCCTCAAGACGGTGGTGAACAAGCTCTTTGAGTTTATGCACGAGTCACACGAGGGCGTCCAAGACATGGCTTGCGACACATTCATCAAAATTGCGCGTCAGTGCCGTCGCCACTTTGTGGCGATCCAGCCCAGTGAGCAGGAACCGTTCATTGAGGAGATTGTGAGGAACATGGGTAAGATTACGTGCGATCTCACGCCCCAGCAGGTGCACACTTTCTACGAGGCTTGCGGCTATATGGTAGCAGCTCAAGGAAACCAGCACCAGCAGGAACGGTTGCTGGCCGACCTCATGAGCATCCCCAACTCGGCCTGGGACGAGATCATCAAGCAGGCGACTTCGAATCCGGCAATCCTCCAGGACTCGGAAACGATCAAGGTCATTGGCAACATTATGAAGACCAACGTATCGGCGTGCAGCTCGATCGGGCCATACTTTTACCCTCAAATTGGGAGGATCTACCACGACATGCTCGAAATGTACCGCGCGACAAGCGGCCTGATATCGGAGGCTGTGGCCAGAGATGGCGATCTTGCGCCGAAGATGCCCAAAGTCAGGGGCCTGCGCACCATCAAGAAGGAGATTCTGAAGTTGATCGAGACATATGTCGACAAGGCAGAGGACCTGGGGGCTGTGCGGACCCAGATGGTGCCGCCTCTGCTCGAGTCGGTCTTGGTCGACTACAACCGGAACGTGCCGGGCGCTCGTGACGCGGAAGTGCTCAAGGCCATGTCGACAATTATCACCAAGCTCGGGGTAAGTGCGAGCCCACCTGAGGATGACTCACGTGCTAACCTCTGCAGGCCATTATGGAAGATCAAGTGCCGATTATCATGCAAAACGTGTTCGAATGCACTCTTGACATGATCAACAAGGACTTCTCCGAGTTCCCGGAGCATCGTGTCGAGTTCTTCAACTTGCTCCGAGCCATCAACCTGCACACGTTCCCGGCGCTGCTGAAGCTCGACAGCAACCAGTTCAAGTTCGTCATCGACTCATGCTCGTGGGCGTTCAAGCACGACAACCGCGATGTGGAGGGTGCTGGCTTGAACATGTGCCTGGAGCTGATTAACAACATTGCGGACAAGACCGACGTGTCGGCCGCGAACGAGTTCTTCCAGCGATTCTTTGTCAACATTCTGCAGGACGTCTTCTTTGTGGTGACGGATCCGGACCACAAGGCCGGGTTCAAGACGCAGTCGATGGTGCTGATGAAGCTTTTCTACTACGTGCAGCCGGCGGACGGCACTCAGCCTAAGATTCAGGGTCCCATCTACACGCCAGAGCAAGCAACAGCTGGTACATCGAACAAGGAGTTCCTGGCCAACTACGTTGGAAACCTGTTGCAGAATGCATTCCCCAACCTGCAGGCGTAAGTGTCTTTCTTGCCCGAATATCAAAAAGATCAACGACTAACGAGCTGCGCAGTGCTCAGATCAAGGAATTTGTGGAGGGGCTGTTCATGCTGAACACCCAGTACGACAAGTTCCGCCTCAACCTGCGCGACTTCCTCATCTCTCTCAAGGAATTTGCAGGGGATAATGCCGACCTCTACGCAGTGGAGAAGGAGGAAGCCGAGCGCGACAACAAAGCTGCCGACATAGAGCGGAGGCAAAAGGTCGGTGGCCTGCTGAAGCCGTCGGAGCTCGACGACGAGGAGCTCTGACTTGGTGAAGAGCTGCGAATAGAATATGCCCCCAAGCGCGCGCGGGGGGACACAGGGGAGGATGCGGACACAGCGAACGTTGGCGACGGCTGGGAATTCTACGGAATATAGACACAGGTCTTTGGCGCGAACGAGGGGCGACTCGAGACGATTGAAGGCCACGAGCAAAGATATTCAAGAAAGTGAGCAAGTGATCCGGCATGATCCGGCTCGGAGGGGGTCCTGTAGCTTTGCAGACCGGAGAGGCCTCTTGCATTGTCATTAGGTGATGGTGAACCCGGGGACAAGCAAGGGCAACGCGTTCATCGGCTGTGCCACGCAGGAGATATAGGATGGGGTGTGAGGCCGGCCAACTGGTTCGTTAGCCGTGTTGGAGTATCAGTAGTAAGATTGTCTCGCAAAGCAGGAGAAATCAAATCAACCCGGCTTTGAATACCTTTGCGAATGACGATTTCTGGTGAGAGAACGGTCTGGGACGAGAGAATGACACCGGATCCCGGGGTATGCGGTTGACGGACGTGGCTGGCGTGGCCCCCTCCCACCACTTCGGAGGCATCCTGATGCTTTGCGCGTACCAAGGTCCAAGAGCCCACTTTAAGGAGGGTGCCACCCCTCTGCGGCGTCGAGTGCGCGTATATAATTCCTGAATCTGTAATTACGTACGTTACCGCATGTGATTTTAGGCGCTCACGACCCTGCAGAAGCCCGGAATGTGGGGAGGATTACGAGTCTAGCCCTCAGTCCAGAAGCGCATGGACCACGCGCCGACCAGCTATGGTTCATGAGTACGTACGTATAGTAGAGTCGGAAGCTTACGCGCCCCCCTAGGACGGATGGATGTGCACCCTGGATACGTACGTGTGTGCGTGCGTATGTGCGTGCAAGCAAGCAAGGACAAGCGCTGGTGGTTGGACGAAGTGCCGGTGAGTGGGCGGCCGGAGGCTGGAGGAGGCGCGGAAGGAGGGGGGCCAGCACGCTGGCCCGGCGAGGGGGGTGGTGAATGGGATGATGAGAGACAGCAGAGTGAATAGACGGTCGACGGGATCGGAAAAGCAGGGCATCTTTGAGGCTACAAGTATCGAGATTTCAGTTGAGAGGCAATTGATTTGGGTTCCATGCATCAAGGAGCACGGTAACTTGAGCCTCGAGGTAACTTATGGAGCCGGACGGAGGCCTACTGAGGCCGCACGTCAGTGGCATCGAATTGAGGCTGTGTAAACCGGGCATATCCACTCAGCAGCACCTTCCTCTCTTCGTCTTGCTTGGTTCTTGGTCGGCCCTTCCTGGTCGGTCTGTCGCTCCTGTCCATGTCGCTCGACTTCTTCTGCAGCATTTCCTCTCCCAGCGGCTGCTGCCTGTCGCAGACCAAGACTTTTCAGCACCAGAAAGCAGACAAAAGAAGACGCTGCTTCACGCGTCTCATGACCCTGAGACCCCCAAGCCAATCGATGGAGTTTTACATTGTCCCCAACTCGACGCTGAACCCTTGCTCCCGAGACATGAGCGAGCTGTTCTACGCAGACCACCGAAGTGCGCCTACACGACGCCAGGACCCTTGAAGTGAAGGAAGCAAGCTAGTAAGCTAGCAAGCAAGCAAGGAGGTGCAGACAAGACGGGACTGGAGTCGAGAAACTGAGGGGCGGTGTCTATGGTCTGAGTCTTCTTGGGGCGTCGCGCGGAAATCGAACATCCCGTCATGGCGCGTCAGACAGGCCCAGCATCGCCAGCCATGAACGGGCCCACCAGTGGAGGAGGAGCTGTCGTCGGGAGCACCAAGACGCGGCGGTCGCATCGGAAATCGCGAAACGGCTGCGCCGAGTGTAAGAGGCGGCACATTCGCTGCGACGAGGGCAGGCCCGCGTGCACCAACTGCACCATTGCCGAGCGCGCGTGCTCGTTCCCGAATGCCTCTCCGGGCCACCATGGAGCGGCAGCGGCAGCAGCAGCTCAGGCTCGGCAGACGATGGGGACCGGTGGCGCCTCACCAGCAGCGGCGGGCAGCGGCGGCAGCAACATCAACGGCTCGCTAGAAGTGCCTTCTCCTCTGCATCACTACCCGGGTCCGCACAGTCCGGCGAGGAGTAGCAGCAGCACGGGCTCAGGTCCCAGACCGATGAGTGTCTTTGCCGACGACGGTCTTCCACCGTTACATGCTGCTGCTGGCGCTGCTCATCACCACCAACATCATGCTCCTTCTCATGCGCCGCATCACCATCCCCAGCAGCAGCAACCGCAGCAGCCGCTGCCGTCCCAGGGACTTCCCCGGTTCGCGCATCAGCAGAGTCTCCCGTCATTCAACGAGTCGTTTGCCGATGCCGCGCCGCCCGTCGTACCACGGTTGCACAAGGCCAGCAGTAGCAGCACTGGACCGCTGCCTGCGCCGCAACCGCAGCCGGCACAGCCACCGCAGCAGCAATTACCATCACCACAGTCGCAGGCCGGAAGCAGCAGCGGCGTTGGCCCGGGGGGTGGGAGCGGCAGCGGCAGCGGCGGCAACTTTGACGCCCAGCACATGGTTCTCCTCCATCATGTCGAGACAAGGATGCACTCGGACATTCTGGGCGTGGGCCAGACGCCGACGGTGATCGAGATGGCGATACGGCACGCCGTCGAGTGCCCGTACCTGATCGACCAGCTGCTGGCCCTGTCAGCCATGCATCTCGCCTACCAGCGACCCGAGCACGCCGCCACATTCCGGCACCAGGCGACAGAGCTGCAAACCCGGGGCATCACTCAATTTGCCAAGGAGACGGAGCGGCTCACGACGTCGGAAGACAACTTTGCGGCGCCTCGCTTCCTCTACGCCACGCTGCTCAGCATCCACATGCTGGCGGACACGCTGGCCTACCACCGCGCCGACTTTGACGTCTTCATCGACCGCTTCATCGAGTGCATGCACCTGCACCGCGGTATCCTGTACATTGTCCGCCCGCAGTTTGAGCAGCTCATGCGCTCCGAGCTCGAGCCCATCCTCGCCCTGACCCTGACCCAGCTGCCGCGCGACCCCCGCCGCGGCGCCGAGTGCGACCCCCTCCACGCCGTCCTCGACCGCTGCGCGCTGCCGCCGACGCACGCAGCCGTCTGCCGCGAGGCTAGTAATATGCTGCAGTGGGCGTTTGACCTCTCCGTCCGCCTGCCCTCCCCCGACGTGCCTCACGCCATCTCTGGGTGGCACGTCGTGCTGCCGTCGGAGTTTGCGGACGTCCTGCGGGACAGGAGGCCTGAGGCGCTCGTCATCCTCGCCTACTATGGCGTCCTGCTCCACCGCGCGCGGCGGTACTGGATCTGCGGGGGCAACGGCGCGGTCCTGGTCAGGGCGATTGCGAGGCAGCTCGGCCCGGAGTGGGGGTCCGTCATGAGGTGGCCGATGGACGTGATTGATAGAGAGCAAGATTGATTGATGGATATTAACTATGAAGCCGAAACAACTTGATTTCAAAAACTGAAGATATTCTCCTTCCTGTAGCCCAGCTGTTGCAGGATGCCACCATCGCGTGTGCCTCGGCCCCCGGTTAGCGACGCCTCCATCGACGGCGGGCCGCACACGTAGGCACGCCCTCGCTGGCTCGGGGGCACGAGCTCATCTAGCAGCTCCTTGGTCACGCGGCCCTTTCTACTCTCCTGCTGCCCATCCTCCTGTGGCACTGTCATGGTGTACACGGCGCTGAACCGACCTGGGTGCCGTTTCTCCAGCGCGCGAAACTCCTGCTGCAGCAGGATGTCCCTCTCCGTGTTGACGCCGTACACGAGTGTCATTGTCGTCGTCGTGTCGTCCTTGTCACCGAGGATGCCCTGCAGCAGCTGGTATACGGGCGTGACACCCGCGCCCCCGGCCACGAGGGTGATGTGCTCTGGGGAAGACGACGGCGACGGTTTCCATTTGGGTCCCTTGAGGGGCACGGCGAAGCGGAGGGTGTCGCCTGGCTGAAGTGCGTGGAGGTGTGTGGATTGTTTGCCGTCGGGGTATTTCTTCACAAGGAAGTCAATGTGGCCGGGCTCATCTTGTATTCGCGTCAGTCAGCCGGCGATGGAGGATGGGGGGAGTGAGGGGAGGGTGTACCTGATGTGGTGATGGGGGTGTATGGACGAGCGACGGGTGTCCATGAGCCCTTTGGCCATGAGACCGTCAACAGAGACGCTGATGCACTATCAGTGTTTTCCCGAAGAGAAGATATATCATTTTTCTCACGCACAAGTGAGAGGCAGGCCGCTGACAGAGTCTGGCGTGGGCAGCTTGAATCGCAGTCTTTTGGTGTCATGGTTGACCTGCTGCGCGCTCTCCAGCGGTAGCGCGATGAACGAAGGCCCGCCACCAAATACTCTGGGCGGCGTGGGACGCGACGCGGCGTGCGCGTCTGTCATTGTAAGACGTGTGAAGATGCTCAGGGCGATGCCACCGGCTGCCAGCGCCGCAAGGGCTCTTCGTGGGCGAATCCTCGTGAAGAGGGTAGAAGACATGATGGGCGTGGTGGTTTACTTCGATGGGAGGGCGAGGAGACTTTAAGATCAGCTTGATCCTCATATAGATAGAATCGCACCTCTTGTCTGTCAATGTGCATCCTCCTGCCCAGGCCGCCCGGACTAGCTGGACAATGTCAATGTGTCCGAGTCCGAAGAGCGCCAAGACCGGCACGTACTAGCTGGACAATGTCAATGTGTCCGAGTCCGAAGAGCGCCAAGCACCGACGTGCCGGTCTTGGCCCGGGTCCGAGGGAGGTTTTCCGTGTGGTGGAACAGCAGAATCCAGGGTATTATTCTATTCTAGACTACGTACAGAGTAGACAATCCTACATCAATCGCTAAACCCCCCAAACTCGGCCTCCTTGGCCGCCTCCTTGGCTTGATTCCGCTGCCGGACCTGCTGGATCAGATCCTGGAGCTTGGCCTCCTTGGCCTTCTCCTCCTCTGTCAGGTGGCTCGTCCGCTCCGCCTCGCGCTTCTTGCGCCTCTTCTCGCGCCGCTCGGCGCGCACGTCCTCCTTTTCGTGCTTGTCGCTCCACGCCTCCGTGTTCTTGCGCTTCCTCTTGGCAATCTCCTCGGCCTTGGCCGCGGCGTGCACGTCCGGACCGGCGGCCAGCGCCTCCTGCCGCGCCTTCTCGCGCGCCCGCTCCCGGTATGCAAACGTGTCCCAGTCCATGTCCTGCCCGAGCGTCTTGTCGCCCTTCCACGTCTTGAGCTCGGGCATCTTGGGCATCCGCAGCAGACCCCAGCCGTGCGCGACGTCCTCCCAGTCGAGATCGGCCGACTTGAAGATGGAGGTCGCCTGGTGCGCGCCGTAGCTGCGCGCCCAGCTGACGAAGCCGCGCTGCGCCTTGTCGTAAATTGCGCGGTCTGTCCGTGCCACCTGCCGTATCCTGCGTGAAGCCTCATCGGCATCCTCCTGCGAGGTCTTGATCTCGGGCTTGACCAGTGGTTGGATAGGTGTCTTTCGTATTTCGAGGAACCGAACGTAGTCTTCTTCGGGGCCGGGGTGGAGCATGACGACCGCGAGACCTTTGCGGCCTGCGCGTCCGGCGCGCCCGCTGCGGTGGATGAAGACCTTGGGGTCGGAGGGTGCGTCGATCTGGACGACGAGGTCGACCTGTGGAATGTCCAGCCCACGCGCCGCCAGATCGGTGGTGAGCAGGATCGTCGGCGCGACCGACATGAGGAACCTGTTAAAGTTCTTCTCGCGCACCTTGGCCGGGTGCTTGCCGTGCAGGGGCACGAGGCCGAAGCCCTTGGGCAGGATCTCGGGGAGCATGTGCTGGAAGTAGTCGACGGCCGCGCACGTCGACAGGAACACGATGCTCCTCTGGGGCGTGACGGGTAATTTCTCGAGCAGCTGGGCCAGGGCGGGCAGCTTCTGACTCGCGGGCTTGACCAGGTACCGCATCTGCAGACTAGCGGGCGTCCGTCGATCCTCGACAATGGCGCCGTCCTTCATCTTGACCTTGACCTCGATCTTGACGGGGTTGCGCAGACCGACCCTGATAATCTCACCGACCGCCTCGCTCACGCTGGCGCTAAAGAGGCCCGTCCGGCGCTGTTTCGGGAGACAGCTCAGGATGCGCTGCAGATCGTTCTTGAAGCCCAGATCCAGCAACCGGTCCGCCTCGTCGAGCACCAGCGACTGGAACGCCAGCTGCGGGCAGTGTACGTGGGGCGAGGTCAGGAGCTCGACTAACCGGCCGGGCGAGCCGAACAGGATGTTGGGACTGGTTCGGAGGAAGCAGCTCAGGTCCTGGGCGACGGTCGTGGTGCCGCCAACGAGCAGCTGCGGGACGACGACGGGCCTCGTCGTGTCCGGTCGCTTCTCTTCGTCGTCGAGGTAGGGCAGGGCGTGTTCGGCCGTGTCGCTGTGGAACTGGAGCAGCGACAGGAGGACGGTGTGGATCTGGGCGGCCAGCTCACGGGTCGGGGAGACGATGATGGCGGAGACATGATGTCGTTTCGTGGGCTCCTCGGCACGCAGGATCTTCTGGATGATGGGTAGGAGGAAGGTGAGGGTCTTGCCGCTACCGGTGACAGCCTGCGCGTGTGATCAGAATAGAATTGAGTCTCCTGGGCCGTCAGTCTCACCTCTACGACGACATCCTTGTTCCCCAGAAAGTGAGGAATGGTCGCAGCCTGGACGGGGGTCATCTGCGCGTAGCCCATTGTAGCCATGGCGTCGAGGATCCATTGATCAAGTCCGGGCTTGAGCACACTCCAGGCTCTGCTGTTGCGCTTCGGCGCTGCCTTGTCTGGCGCCATGCTCTCGTCGAGTGTGTGCGCGTGTCTGTCTGCTCGTGGGATGGACCACGGATGGAGGGGACATTCCCTTGAGCCAAGTGCCAACAGGATGCGCCGCAACTTTTTTTCTTATCGGTGCTTATCGGCCCTTGTCGCTGCTGATCAGCGCTTATCAGACAGCTGATAACGATATCAGCTGTGGGCCTGCGAGTCCGAGTCGTGACATGCCAGATGGTAATAGAATCAGACCCGCTGGAATTTCCGTCCTTGGCAAATGGCAAATGCCTGCACGCTGCCATCATCCGGGGTTACCGGCAGGCAGGCAGGGCAGGCTCACGACGATGTTTCGACTCGGTCTACCCGCCCAATGCGCTGGTTCTGGAGGCCGAAACACCGTCAAGTCGACCGTATGAGTGAACAGCACTGAGCCCAAGTACAATAATAAGCACACTTGGGGATGAATGATGGGAAACAACCGTGTAGATCAACCCCTGCACGGTCACATGCTCGTATGCACGTCGCAGTACTCCGTACTCCGTCCGTAGAGGGAGCTGAGGCGTACCGTAGCCTGGTGGGAAAAATCTCGTGCTGCTGTCAGTGTCCGTCTCCGACCCCGAAAAACCCACCACGATTGCCAGCGCCAACATCAGCAGGCTGACCAACCCCGAATCCCACAAAGTCCGCTGGTCACAAGCCACGCTTCTCTCTCTTTTCTCCGTCCTTCTCTCCCCCTCTGATGACCACAGGAACAGCCCGCCCTATGCGAGCGACCTCGGCCTCTGCCTTCTCACCTCTTCGTCCAACATGCCGCGGGGGAGACACCCTCCGTTGCATCACCGCCCGACTTCATCCTGGATTCGCTAGGCGTCACATCGCCCCGACTCTCTGCTACGACGCCCAGTGACTGTCCACCAACCCCTCCGCTCGCTCTTCTTGACAGCGCAGTCGCCCCTCTGGCGCGCCCTTCGCGCCTCGATAAACATCTCCACTCCACCATCCAGCCTACCGACCCCTACACGGCCTGGGTCGCCAGCTTCGCATCTCTCAGGCGCATCCTCGTGGGCGCACTAGCCTGTCCGGCACTACCAGAGTTTCCCAGCATCATGTCCACCCGACGTCGCGTCCCTGCGAGCCCCCGGGTCATATCACCGTCGCCTGACCCGTCAGAGCACGAACTCGACATCTCACAGGGTCCCGTCACCCGCTCTGCCGCAAGGAATCGCAGGGCAGCATCGCAGACCCTGCAGGACGAGGACAGCAACTCGGACGAGACACCGGGTCATCGTCGATCGCGCACGCGAAGTCGCTCCCCCATTGACACGCGCGCCATCCAGCGCATGACGCCGCGCCGGCCCAAGAAGCCATCTTCCTCCAAGATTGTGGAGGAAGTGGAGGAAGAGTCAGCAGCAGCAGCAGCAGAAGCAACAACAGCAATCCCTTCTGTGAGCAAACCGCCCAATGGGAAAGCGACGACCACAAACGGCCATCTGGCACCGCCCGAGCCGAGTTTCGCTGGCTGGACATGGCGCGATTTTAGTCGCAGCCCGAGTCCCCTCGGCTTGATCCCCATCCACCGACACTGGAGGACGTTTGTGCACAAGCACGAAGTGCCCCGCAAGGTGCTGCACGTCTCCATCGGCTTCTTCGTCGTCTGGCTCTACGTCGGTGGCACGCAGACGAGCGCGGTGCCGCCGTATCTCATGTCGGCCCTCGTGCCCATTGCCACAACCGACTGGCTGCGCCACCGCTACGCGTCCGTGAACCGCCTCTACGTCAAGGCGCTGGGGGCCCTCATGCGCGAGAGCGAGTACGCGGGCTGGAACGGCGTCATCTGGTACCTCCTCGGTGCATGGACCGTCCTCTTCTTCTTCCCCAAGGACGTGGGTGTCATGAGCGTGCTGCTGCTTAGCTGGTGCGACACGGCCGCGAGCACCTTTGGCCGGTTGTGGGGACGCTACACGCCCAGGCTACGCCGCGGCAAGTCCCTCGCCGGCTCGACAGCCGCGTTCCTCGTGGGCGTGGCCACGTCCTACTTCTTCTACGGGTGGTTGGTCCGCTCCATTGGGCCGATGCCTGGCGACGAGAACTTTTTGTTCCAGGGCGCGCTGCGGCTGCCGGCCGCGGTGTCGAGCGCACTCGGTCTTTCCCCTGAGAAGGCTACTATTACGGGCTCCCTCGCGCTTGGCGTCATGGGCGTCTGGTCCGGCTTCGTGGCGTCGGCCAGCGAAGTCGTGGACTTGTTTGGATGGGATGACAACCTCACCATCCCGGTGCTGAGCGGGCTGGGGCTCTGGGGTTTCCTCAAGGTGTTCACCTGAGGCGGAACACGCCAGCTTGGATTATATGGCTCGTATATTTTATGCATGGTACTTGCACGTGTCACGGATGAACGGATGGAATACCTACGCCTCCATGGCGGATTGGTCATGGGGGAACTGGGCTTGTACGACTTATAGGTAGCATTGTCGCTTACCATCTGCTTCTAACCTTCTACGGATGATGTTGTTCATGAGCATCCGTCATATTGTCAATAGACTTTTGTTAACACTCAAGCTCAGAGCAACATGCATACAGCAATGCCTGGTGACTGACACGTGCAGCGCTGCGTGCTCGTCGGGGCTGCAGATATCGTGCAGATGGCCTTCGTGGCAAAATGGTACGTACAGTACTACTCTGCACGAACAAGGGCTGGCTGGTGAGTTGTCTCTGCATCCTGGATGGTGCACGGGCGTGTGCCTTCATTGTCGACAATGATCCAGGTTGACTACCGATGAAATGGCCAGTGCTACGTTCATCTTTGCCGGGTGGCGTGTTACTCGCCAAGTCATCATCGATACCGGCCTTCCCAGTTCTGCAATACCCCAACTGTGCTTCTGTACGTACCTCTAAGGTCACTACGCATAGTATATGTGAAGGCAATTCACACTCTCTGTTACCCTTTGGCAAGCCCCTTAGCCAATAGGCACTTGTCCATGATGGACGCTACAGTAGAGTCTTGACAAGGCCATCCGCACAAACCCTTCACCGCCTTTCTCCAACAGTGGCACAGGCTAAGCACAATGAATCACTGTCGAATTATGTCATGGGAAAAGCGAACCTCACCCCACTGGCTGTCGTGATGGCGGGTCGTTTAGACCTGTCTTGAGCCAAGGTGGGAGGTACTCACTTGAGCCTTACGGTACCTGCCAACGCGCAGGAGCCTAAAGTCATTCGCAAAGTAGTAATATCGTCGTGGTCTGGATGGTTTCTTCGGAATCGCCTTGGGATTGGGTGGGCATGCTCACCAGGGCGTTCGGGTCAGCGCTGCGTATCGTCCGTTCATCGGCTAGTGACGGATCCACGATACACTCGTGTGTTACGTCGGATTGTCTATATCTTCATACACATCGAGTGTTACAGCTACATACCAAGGCTCTAAGCTGATGAACAGTCATCGCTGTGGGCAAGGCCATGATAGAGGACGCTGAAAGAGTGAGCATGCTGATTCTTGTCCAAGGGTTGAGGTGGGGGAGGGGCAAATCAGAGTATGTCTGCGGAGTACTCTGTACTTCTTGGTGTGCGGAATTTCAGCCAATTAAAGTGGCAAGAAACACCGTGAATGTCGAATTATGACCAATTATTATCTCAAGAATTGGCCCCGCCGATCATGCGACAACGTCCAAGTCCCGTCCCTGTCCCTTTGATGATAATGGGCAGGAACTTGGGAAGGAAGGAGCCATCATGCATGTCCTCCTCCGGTATCCCCTCCCCCCAGGCTTGCACCGAGAATACCACGACGGAACCTGCGCTCGCTCCGCCCTCCGCCCTTGGGGCATGCCTTTTCGGACATTTCTCTGGCGAATGTTCTGACAACGCATCGTCAATATTATATCGCACTCGTTCACCTCTCCCGTCCCTCAGACAGCACAGCATGCAGTGCATTCGCAGGCGCATTGCATCCCGCACACCCATCATCGTCCAGACAGTCCTCTTCCGTCGTTGGTCTGTCTGCCTTGCCCTTTTCCCATGCAGTCCTGCCCAATCCCTTGTCATCTGGCTGAGTACCCAGCCGGTGGGTTTGCTCTTCGTCAACGACGAACCTCAACCTGGTCTGTTCGTCTATCTAGCTTGCTTGCTTGCTTGCGAACTGAGCTTCGTCCCTCCCTCCACCCGCCTCACGACCTAGCATCAAGGGCGTGTGGAACAGCATCCACACGCCTCGTAATCCAGTGCTGCTTTTGCCTTTTACCTTAGCGTCGATGTTGCGCTTCTGCTCTGCTCGGCTTCACGCCCACCCAAGTGGCGTGCACGTACTCTTCCCTCCCGCCATCGAACATGACGCTCGTCCTTCGATAGGCCAATTCGGAACGGGTTCGATCCTGTGGGGAACGCTCGAATCTTCATGCGGTTCTTGTTGGCCAATGCTACCAGTGTAGCCACACTTTGACCTTGTTGCTGTTCGTACGGCCTACTTGTCACCAACCGATGATGCTCTATGGTATCCTGCCCCCAACCTATTCTTCGGGTGGGACAAATTTCTTCGGTGGCTTCGGCCATTCCTTTACTTCTGCCGCTTCCCTCCTGGTATCTCTGGCCCCAATCACAGAAGCCTTGGCCATGTCGACGCTATCCTTCGGCTCTATCAGAGCGGCTCCGAGTCAAGGGATCCATCGTCAAGACACGCACACACCCCCTTGAGCGCCAACGACAAAGAGGCATCATTCCTCTTAGCCTCCCAAACTCTCTCTTTTCGTTGGCTCCCACTCTACTGGTGCCGTGGCTAATGCGTCTAGTCCCCCTTTTTCCTCCGTACTGGCTGCTGCTTGTTCGGTTGACATTGTAGACTCACCCGCACGCCACCATACGCCGTCGGCCGCGATCACCTCATCACCGCCGCCCCAGCCAACCTGTCTTTGCCTATTAGACCGTCACGGCCTCGTTTCTCGAGCGGGGGTCATGGCCGTCAACGAATAGAGTCATGGCTTGCTACTCTTCTGATTGAGGTGTGTGTCCTCTGGGGTGTTTGAAAAAAGTATAAAAAGGGTGAACTTGATGGAGGAAAGCCAGAGCCCTTTCTCTTCCTTTCTCACCATCCCAATCCCAATTCCAAGCTACCTCTCTCTCCTCGGCCCACCTCCATTACCCTGTGACCCACGTCCACACACAGCTGTTCCTGACGACAACATGTCTGGCCCCTACTACACCACATCATACACCATGCCCGCGTCCACTAGCAAGGGCCACCAGTACCCTGCCTACAGCCAATACCCTACCTCTTCCATGGACTGTGACGAAGAGACCATGAGCCATCACGGCTCGGCCGTCCCGTCTGTCTACTCCGCCACTTCGGCAGGCTACATGACCGGCTCCTCCACCAGTGATTACGACAGCACACAGTCCGCCAGCGGCGTCGACTTTCAGGAGTACATGCAAGACCGCTACGCCAACGCCTTCAACCCCATCCCCTTGGACCGCAGCATGGCTGTCCAGGCTCAATCGTGAGTTGTTGTCCTCCTCCTCATTCACTCAATCCGCAAGGAGAGCCCATTCGGCTTGTCCTTGCGGACTGATCTGCGTTATGTCTCAGTGTCTAACACGGAGACAGATCCGGCAAGCTGAACGCCAAACACCGCGAGCTCCTCGAGCTCCAGCAGCAAGCGCAGGCGCGTCTGGCGAGGACGCGCGAGCGTTTCCAGGATGGTATGCGTGACGCGCGCGAGGTCCGTGGCGACCTTGAGTGGACGCAGAAGAAAGTTTCGTGAGTATTCGCGCTTCCACGCCCAGAGGGACATGTCACTGACTCGTGCGTCCGTCCAGTTCGCTTCAGAGCAAAGCTGCGCGCAAGCACCCTAAGGAGTACGCCAAGGCGCGCGCCAGGCATCCTTCCCCCGAGTACTAAAGGGGTTCGGTGCCAGAGTCGTCGTTGAGAGATGCTGCAAGGGCAGTTTTCTCGCACAGAATTTGTCGTTCCTGCACAGCGTCGGGGGAGGGGGGGGATCATGCAGGTACAGATCTACTACCCCCGAAAAACGAAAGTGTATGAGAGTACTGCACGCAAGATCTGGGGTAATATGGGGGGGCCAGTGGAAACGCGCGCGGCAATCTTGCATCCCACGTGAGGAACCATCCGCCCGGGTCAGGCTAACGGCGCGCGCGTGGATGCTGCTTTTGCAACGGCGAGATGTGGGGGGGGTGAGGAACCCTTTTTTCCTTGTGCTTTTCAGCGAAGCGTGTGTTTTCAAGGCGCGTCTACGAATCATGATTGGATGACCAAGGGGAGTATGAGACAGCCACAGGGAGCGGAGCGACACTACAGAGACGCCTCCCTCTTCCTCTGTGTGACAGCTGCAGGTACGGGAGGGCACGGTCATGGCAGCGCCCAGGGGGGGCGTGAGGAGAGCAACAGTGTTGGCCCAGGGCGGAAAAAAGCGAGCATGGGAGAGGCGTGTGCCTCCGGGTGGGAGTGCCAGCTCGGCGCAGGCTGCTCGGGAATCGAGGGTGGATATCGGAGTGAAGGTCTCTTATTGGGTGCTCGGTCCTGGATACGGCGTTCGGTATTGCTTCAATTTGTGTATAAGAGTACGTATACGGCATTCTGAAGGTACTCCATCATGTCTTGTAGTGCGCTTGTCCCTCCACCGTATCGTGACCGTGAGATGACCCAGAGCCGGGGCCATTGTGTCCACCACGCCCGCTGAAAACCAATGATAACGTGATCCGCACCAAGTCTCAACTGCTGTGAGGTGGCTCTGTCATGTGAGCGGGCTGCTCCAGCCAAGGTTGGCGTGGAGAGACCGAGTGGCATCTGTGCTGCTGGGGTTGCGGTCACGTGATACCCTTTCGCTGCCCTGACTGGACTTTGGGCATATGCCATACAGGTAATACTGCTTCCAAAACTGGTGTTGCATGCGTGCCGAGACTGCGATGGAAGGACTCAAGTCTCATCAGAGATTCCGCCGGTAAAGAACCACGAAGGTGCGTGGCCTCTAGTTGTAGCAGTTCCCGGCAAAAGGTAAGTCAGCCATTGTCGGGTGGTGCGTCTTTGTGTAGCAAACACGATTTGAGGGCCTATTCAAGTCGAGACTTCTCCAGGATGACAGCTGCTATGTGGCAGCCACGTTCCTTGAGCCTGCAAGCCAAGATTCCTTTCCAGCTTGTCCCATGGATTCTGGTTGAAGCGCGGGTCGTAGTAGTCCTTGTACCAAACTCTCTGCTCATCCCTCGATGCATTTTGAGGCATCATACCGTGAGCACCTGAATTGCCTTGGTTGCTTGCAAAGGATGGCCGTTGCGGAAGGCCTTGGGGAATGGGCTGCTGCTGTAATGGTGCCGGCGTGGGTGGTTCCTCGTCGGCTTCGTCATCGAGGTTGATCTCATCATCATTTGCCTTTGCACCCGAGGCATTATCAGGAGCAGGAGCAGAGCCTCCTCCCCCCTCCCGAGCTCCAAGCGGTGTCATGTTGGACCCCGTGGAAGACTCTGGCTTAGCGATGGAGACTTGGGCGTCCGCGCCAGGGTTGTACCGTCGCTTTTTCTGCGGGCGATCTGGGCCACCGAAGGAGGAGAAGCCCATCATCTGCGCCACGGCTGCTTCATCGAGCTGGTCGTCCATTGTGACGAGGTGTTTGATAATGTCCTCACAGTGAAAACGAAGTGAAGTCTGTCCACGGCTTATCGATAATTTGAGATCGGCAAAATGGAGCGATGCCATTGGTTGAGGTGACATCACGCATGGACCATTAGGCTCTACCGTACTCAGTACTCGCTCGACAAAGTCGCTAGTGTGTCTGGCTAGACAATAACCCTATTAGGAGTGGTGCCAATGTTGAGTAAGAAATGCAGCTCGCACTTTCGCACAGGCGTATATCCACTGCACTAAACCATAGACGGGTAGACTTTATTCACCAGCGCTAGCGACCTTGTCGAGTACAGTATTTCTAAGCTTACCTTCAGGCACGCCGCTGTCACAAAAGGATGTACGAATGCTAGACTGCTTCAACAAACCAAAATCTGGTTTCATGAGATTAACATGTGCTATTGATTCTAAAGTTGGACTGCGTCATAGCTATCCAGAACCTCGCACAGTTGAGTGGTTGCTCCCATTGCCGTGCCAATTCCGGATAGTCTAGCTTCCGAAGATCTTGGAGCGGCATGAAGAAGCATGAGAAGTCAATGAAGTCAATAAAGTCCCCTTGAAGCATGCTCAATCGTGCATTACGCCCACATCACCTTTCATCCCCGACACCCCATACCTCATCCAGGACTGCCCCCAGCCCATTCACAGTCGTATCATGGCTACTGTCACCATCAACTTGCCATCCAAGTACGCGCCCAATCATGCTGAGAAGACCAGCCCTGAAGGCCCAACGCCAACCCCATCGCTAGAGTGGCTCACACGCACCTGGTGTGTAACCCATTCCACCCTCTCCATGTGGCGATCAGCCCGCAATGTGAGGATCACGTACAAGCCTCTCGCTCCAAAGCCAGACGGGACACCGCGCATCGACGACCTGGTCGAGTATGAGCCCATCAAGAAGCAGGGCGTGCGCAAGAGCGTCGAGGGCGTGGATACACGCGCCGCTGATGGAGGCTGGGATTGGAAGGGCAAAGGCTGGCTGTTCTTTGTGGGGAGTCACTGGGAGATCTTGGCCTGGGGCGAGGAGGCCGATGGGGAGAGGTGGGCTGTGACGTGGTTTGCGCCCACGGTATTCACAAAGGAAGGAATCGACGTGTACTGTGATCGAAAGGAGGGCATCAGCGGGGCCACATACACCAGGATACTGGAAGCCCTGAAGGCAGTCGAGGCAAAGGAGCTGGTGCAGATGGTCGAGAGCGACATGAGGGCCGTGGATATCCAATTGCCTTGGACTGAGGCGTGATGTTCCGTTCCGTTAGCGAGTCTGATTATTATAACGTGTGCAAACTAGCCACTGCTACGGCGTCTGGCATCGTCGTTTTCTCTGGATCTCGCTCGAGTTGAGCCTCCTCTCGGCGAGCGCGACCTATGCCGCCGGTGATGGTGATGCTGTCGGTCATGGTGACGTCTCCTGTGCCTACTACTACTGTCATGATCACGCGACGTCTTGTGAGAACGCCCTTCGTGGTGCCTGTCTCCTGAGCTGGGCGAGAGTGACCTAGAATTTCTCTCTCGCCGCCGCCTGCGACGCCTCTCGGCGTGCTCTTGCTCTCGCCGCAATCGTCGCAGCTCGGCGTCTCGCTCCTCTTGCACGCGCTTTCGCTCCTGGTTCACTTGACGCGCCTTGGATGCCCCGAGCCTCATCATGGCGAGGGGGTCATTCGACACTGTACGCTGAGCATCGCGCTCTCGACGTTGAGGGTCGTCTTTACCCCACACGTTCTTCGGGGGAGCGTCTGTACCGCCGTCACCGGCATTGGAGTACCATGGCTTCTGCACACCATCCCTTCCCGCAGCATTCGCGAAGCGCATGGTATACTGGTCCTCCAACTCTTGCTTCTTCTTCTTGGCCTCTTTTTCAGCCTCCTCATTGCCTTCAGCCCGACCTCTCGCCCGCTCATCGCCAAAGAGATCAATGTGACCTGCGTGGTCGGTTATCGGCGCGGAGCTGGTCTTGTGCTTGAGGTCGACATCCTCGTCGGGTCTAGACTCGTAGCGCTCGTTGGCTATACGTAGCTCGAAATCCGTATCGTCTTCGCCTGGTCTTTTGCGCTTCCGCTGACCTCCGCGTGCTTCGCGCCTCTCGACAGCCTCGACCACTGGCGGCTTCTCCTCCGTTTCCGGCAGTGGCGGCGGTATCTCACCTCGCAGTATCGATAGGCGTCTCTGCGCATCAACTTCTTGCATGCGCTGCTCCTCGGCCTCCTCGGCTGCCTGTGCTGCTGCCTCGTCGCGGCGCACGCGGGCGATGTTGTCGGCATTGTACACGTTCCATGATTTCTTGCCGAGTAGATGGCTGCGGCGTAGTTAGCCGATGGATGGCGCAAGGGAGTTCTCGGGCTCGTACAGAGGCATGACCGCTGCCCTGGAAACCACAGCTTAGTTCACGCTCCAGACATGGAAACTGATGCAGAGGAGAAACAAGCCGACACTAACCACAGTGTGGGGCACGCTTTAGATACGTACAAACAGAGGGCTATATGAGCAGTAAACGGGGCATAAATAGCAAGGTAGGCTCAAAACGGTGCCTAACAGCCCCACTACGTGCATTCTTATGTCATCAAGTTCTGCGCCGCTCGATACAGGTCGATGTGGCTGGAACGTGGCGGTGAAACTCACCTCGCCTGTACTGTAACCTCACTCACCTCAACACTCCACATTACTCCGTATAGCCGTGCATCATCCAGGACAACACGTCTTCGCTCATTCATCATCCGACTACATTCTTTGTCCATCAGTTCCCGTTTCCCTGCCATTATACAAGCGTCTTGAAGTTTACTTGCGAGTCTCTCCCGCCATACCAGACACAATCATGTCGTTCATGCCGCAACGTGGCGGCCCGGCTGGCCCTGGCCAGCCACGGCCTGGCCCTGGAGGCCATCCTGGAGGTCATCCTGGTGGTGGCCCTGGCCAGCATGGCAGTCAGGGCGGCCCCGGAGGTCCTGGACGCCAGGTCACCCTTCAGTGCGCAAAGGTGAACGACAAGAACTTGCAGTCGCAATTGATTTACAGCAACATGTGAGCATCCGTCTTCCCCAACAGCAGCACGCACCCCGGTTCACACTCCTTTAGTTGTGCCGTCAACCCCAGAGATTTTCCGACGCAGCGTCCTAACCAGAACTTCCACGTCCTCATTCGAGGCGGCCAACCCAGGGGCGAATTTGTGGTGACCGCGAGGCCTCTGGACGTTCTGCCACCGGGGACTATTAGTCTCTCTGACCCCCAGCGTACCTGGTGCGGCATCTCACTGAGAGACCAGTTCACTGGTGAGGTATACGATCCGTTCTCGGCACGCGATGGAAAGGCCTACCTATCCTCGCTGGACCTCGAAGTAACATTTGCCTCGCCTAGTAAGCGGACAGATGTTCCCTTCGAGGAGTCTGATCTCATTGCAGATTTCACCAAGACATTCGATGGCCAGGTTCTCGCTCCTGGTCAGCGCATCATCATGGACCGGGGCAACATCCCTCTTCTCGTCACCGTCAAGTCCATCATCCTCGTCGACCTCAGTGGCGGTTCCGCCCCCGAAGGCGCGGAGCGCACCAGGGAGCCATGGTCAAGGGGCATTCTCACCACCAACACAGATGTCGCCTTCAGAATCGATAGTCAGTCCCCTCTCAAACTCAACACATCTTCGACGCGCGCAAGGGCCAACCCGATCCTCGCGCCCGACTTCAAGTTCCAGGACATGGGCATTGGTGGTCTCGCCGACGAGTTCTCGACCATCTTCCGCCGTGCCTTCCTCTCTCGTATCTTCCCACAGGCAACCATCTCCAAGCTGGGCATATCCCACGTCAAGGGTATCCTCATGTACGGCCCTCCAGGTACTGGTAAAACCCTGATGGCCCGCCAGATCGGCAAGATGCTCAACGCTCGCCCGCCCAAGGTCATCAACGGTCCCGAAGTCCTCAACAAGTACGTCGGCCAGTCCGAGGAGAACATTCGCAAGATGTTTGCGGACGCTGAGAAGGAGTACAAAGAAAAGGGTGACGAAAGTGGCCTCCACATCATCATCTTCGATGAGTTGGATGCTGTCTGCAAACAACGTGGCTCGGGAGGCGGTGGTGGCACTGGTGTTGGAGACAGTGTCGTCAACCAGCTGCTGTCCAAGCTCGATGGTGTCGACAAACTCGAGAATATCCTCCTAATCGGCATGACCAACCGAAAAGACATGATCGACGACGCTCTGTTACGCCCCGGACGTCTCGAGGTTCACCTAGAGATCTCCCTTCCTGATGAGAAGGGCCGCCTCCAGATTTTAGAGATTCACACGAACCCGCTGTCCAAGAACAAGATGCTGGGCGGCGACGTCAATTTGCACGAGATTGCCGAGCAGACCAAGAACTTTTCTGGTGCCGAGCTCAACGGTCTCGTCCGCAGCGCCGTGTCATATGCCATGTCACGCAGCGCCCCCATGGGCGAGCAGGGTGTTCCCACCGCCAACCCCGAGAGCATCATGGTCGACCGCGATGCCTTCGAGTACGCTCTCCGTGAAGTCCGCCCCGCCTACGGTGTCTCGGAGAATGATCTCGACGAAGCTGTCCGCAGGGGCATCATCCGCTACAGCCCGCATGTCGGCACCACCATTGAGAGCATGGCTCGCGTCATCGACATGGTCGCGACGTCGCAACATCAATTCGGCCACTCTGTTCTCTTCCACGGTCCAGACGGCTCAGGAAAGACTGCACTGGCGGCCTTTGTGGCGCAGCAGTCGGGCTGCCCCTTCATCAAGATCATCACGCCCGCGCACCTGGCCAGCCAGAGGGACGAATTCGCCCGAAGCGACTACATCCGCAAGGTCTTTGCCGACGCAGCGAAGTCGCCCTTTAGCATCGTCATTCTCGACAAGGTCGAGAAGCTTATCGGCTGGAACCCCATTGGTCCCCGATTCTCTACCACCATCCTGGAGCCGATGCAAGCTCTCATTGACCAGCCTGGCTCAGAGGTACATGTTGAGCCATACCCTTACCAAGTATCACATGCTAATATTTTACTCCTTTTTAGAAACACCGCCTTTTGGTATTCGCCACGACGTCAAACATTTCTGCTCTGAAGATGCTCGAGGTCGACCGCACATTCAGGAAGCACACGGCCGTGCCCGCCGTCGGCAACCTCCGCGAACTCGGTGCCGTACTCACCGAATCCCCCGTGCCCTTCTCGTCAGACGACATCGACACCACGCTGGGCGCTATCGAGCGACAGACCGGGACTGATCGTGTCAACGTTGGTATCAAGACGGTACTCGAGTGTGCTTTTGAGGCGCAGATGGCTCCGGCAAATGAGATGCCACTCATGTTTACGGAGCTTCTCGTCGGTTATATTGAATAGAGTACAAGACGTATTTTTCCGTATAGAACGTTCATGAATAGGAAGCCAAGTGACATGCTCATGGCTGAAACGTCTCCGGGTCTATTTGGGAAAGTGTGATGCAGAAGACAGCCAATCCACATGAGCAGCATCAGGTCGCAGCAGCTGTATTGTGCAAATAGGCTGTAAATCCTGCAGCTCGAGAAAGTGTATTTAAGCCAATTGCACCTCGCCAGCATAAGCCCTAGGTATCTCTAAAACATATAAAAGAAGAGACTCTGACTGAGGAAATATGTTGTTGCTGGTATAGCCGCCGCTGAGAACATGTGTCCTTTCCAATGTAGTGCGTGTCCTGTCTCCATCCTACAGTAGACAATATGAATATTAAGAACGAGTGTGCTGTGTCGTCGGCAGCAGACCGACGCCCAAAATCGATGTATCGCGCGCCTCGCTTGGTCGTTAATCGGGACTGTCGTAATGGTAGGATTTAATCCATGTGTATGTATGTATGATGTGTTGTTGTGTATGCATGTATGCCGTGCTGCGGTCAAAAGTACAAATATGAAATCTGTCGAACGATGGGTATCGGCTTTTCTGGTGGGCCAGTGTAGCCTCCGAATCGGTATATACTGAGAAGTTTATTCCAGGTTGCCGGAGTGTCGCCTGATTTCTTCTTCTGTCAAGGCGCCGATCCAGAGACATCTCTCGGTGACGCCCTCGATTGGATGGAAGTCGTAGTAGGTGCTTGCCTCGAGCAGTCGCAGCAGAGTCTTGACGACTCCGGCGCTGATACGGCATCGCTCAAAGTTCACGAGAGGGGGCGTGGTAGGCGAACTGGCAATTTCCGATGGCCTCTGAGCATTGTAGATCAAATCTCGCGTATAGATCACCACAAACGGGATGCACCCAATGTTGGGGCCCGACTCCATCTCGGCGCGGAGGTCAAAGAAGTTGCGTGTGGGCGTGACCAGAGCTTCCAAATCCTTCAGAGTCTGGAGATCGGAAGGGGGCACGAGCTCCCATGTCCGAGCCAGGCGGGAGACTTCGTTGCTTGACAGCGCGATCGTCAGCTGTGCAAGAGTCGCAAAGTTGCGATACCGGCGGCAATGCGCAGCGATATGGATATACTTGATTAGACAACGGGCTCGCTCCTCAATGTGTTGAGTCAGGACAATCTCAGAGACCGCCCACTTGACCATGAGGTTGAACCGGGCAATGACAACCTGAACGCCCTGGGCATCCGTGTTGCGGAGAAACTCAACCCAGGAGCTGGGGTTGTCATTTGCAGCGTTTTTCCAGTCCATGTCCACGAGCTCCTTCCAGTCAATTTCGTTAAGCGCATCCTTTTCGATCAGCGTGAATTGCTGCGCCAAAGTGTCCGAATCGAAGGCTAAGATGAACGGCAAGTGAACAGAGTACTTCCGGCAAGCATCAGCCTCCTGTCCCGATGCGTCGAATGGAGGGTGATCCGTGCCGATCTGATCGAACGGTGACCTTGGTCCCATCGCAATGCCCGGGGTAGCATCTGGAGTCGGAGGCAATGGCTTCAGAGTCAGATCTCGCTGTGCTGATGCGCGGCTGCCATTGTCATGTGGCGGTTCTTCCATGCTGCCGTCGCCAGTATTGCTCGGTGAAGATAAACCTCCTTGAGTAGCTATGTTCCTTTCCCCCAGCGGGTGCGCTGGAAACCCTCTCGTCGGTGAAGACGCATGGTGAAGGCCCGGCTGTTTCTTTGGTGTATATTCCTCTGAGATTTCTGAAGAGAGATCGCTGTCGAGGAACGTCTCATCTCCCGTGCTGTTGCGGGGAGGAAGTGAAAGGGCTGTCTTACTCTCCATTGCGGCCTCTGTCTGCTGAATAAATTCAAATGATAAGTGAGAGCCATCGGGTGAGGCGACTATGGCCAACGGGGAGGCGTCGTCTTCGTCTTGCAATATAGAGCGATCCGTCCAGTTCCGTGTTGTGCGCTCACTCTGCCCGTCGTCGTCCGTCAGACCACGATCTAGAAGTGGGACAGACAGATATGATTCCCTGGTGGCATCTGACAAGAACGACTGACGGTTCACCTCTGCAGCCGCAGCAGGCAAGTCCAAGCGTCGATTCCTGGGCCGGAGACCTGGTGGTGGCGTCCCCGACTGTTCTTCCTCAGCCGTGGATGCTTGACGGTGGATGTCGGTCCATGTTTCGCTAAAGTCAACACTGCTGGTCTCAGACAGCGCATCGTCGCGATCTGAGAGATCCATGGACAGCTTCGGTGGGGTAAGCCGCTTCTCGAATTTACCCTCTAGCTTTGCCAGGGCAGACTCAACACCGCCATCGTCTTCATCGTCTGGGATTTCAGCGAGTTTCTTGGCGTCCGCCTCAAACGAAGATCGCATTGGCGGCTTCGAGGAGCGCGTACTGCAGAGCGAGACCTGTCGTTTTCTCGGGTTGTCTGCTAGCTGCCCAACAGAGAAGACCTGCGTTCGGATGGGATACTCGCTGCTCTTGACGGACCCCACTCGTTCGGCTGACCTAGGTCTGTTGCGGTTGCCAATGGAACCACAAAACGACTCAGACAGGGCCGTGATTGAACCAAGTGACCTTGACCGCCTGAGCATACGCTTGTCCAAGTCATCCACGTTGGTTGCAGCTCGTAGGTCGCCCCCTGGTCGTCTGCGAAGCATGCGCAAAGGCTTCGGCACGGGAACATCCGGCTCTTCTTCATCTTCGTCAACTGAGTATCGTGTATAGCTGGTGGCGTCAAAGCTACGAATGTGCGAAGTGGGTATGATGTCGCTGCTGAGGGATCCGTTGCGGTGGTGCAGGACAGAGTTGAGTGACTGGTGGGTTTTACTCGACTGATCCCGACGGTGAATCTTACTCATTCCCCCGCTGAGAGGTGGAAGTCGATGGCTGCGTGCCCTGACAGTGCTCGGTGGCTGATAGCATCCTTCTTCCGATCCGGGAGTAGAAGAAGGGTCTTTCATCAAACTAGAGTCCGGCACAGCAGGCAGCGGCACATCTGGCGCCATGGCAGTCCGCATGTTGTGGTTGACGACATGTGAGGAACGCCGCGCCATGTCGCTCTGGCCAGCAGGAGGCGTGATCGGAGGCGTGATGTTGGACATCTTTGGCATGAGTGTGTCACCAAAGTCTTCGATAGATCTTTCAGACGGCGGAATCGTCGTGTAATTATCCGAGCGACCAGTTGCCGAAACGGTGTCATCCACAATAAGGATCGACTGACTGCCACAGGACAAAACAGACTCCCTTGGTAGCTGATGTGGTGGTTGCTGCTGTGGGTTTTGGGGTGGCCCGGTTTCCAGGTCACCTGGAGAGTACCCTAGATAAATGGGCTTGTCCTCCCCTTCCTCCTCCTCTTCTTCCTCCTCTAAGGTCGGTCCCATTCGATGATCACGATTCTCGGCTTCCGCAGCAGCATCTTCCCTGACCGCTCTCTTGAAGTCTTGGGCTACTTCAGCCCCGAGGAGGTCGATCCGCACCGGCGGCCTGGCGCCATCTCGGCTGATTGGCTTCTGGGGGACAATGGCTGTACCAGGGAGGCGATTAGTAGCGCTGGCGGTCGCAGCCCTGATTGGGAGATGATCTGGCGAGATGCCATTGCCAGGCGCGCGAGTACTGAGAGCCCTACGCACACTTCCGAGCAGCCTCTTCATTCCTCGACTGGACATGGCGTCAGCTTGGGCGTCAGGCATAAGCAAGCGTTCATCAAAGTCTTCGTGCTCAAAGATAGTGGTGTGCCGCCCAGAGTCCCAGCGAGCTACCTCGACAAACGCCTTGCCGGGGGGCATCATGTCGCCACGCACAAGACTGCCGGCGTGTGAAGTAGCCATGGTGAAGTCATGGTCTTTGTAGGTGAAATGGGAAGGCTCGTTGTCCGCAGGCGATTCTGGAAGGCTGTTGCTGCGCTGATGCTGCTGGTGATTCGGCCGGACCCTTTTCCCTACCAGCGCTCTGGGTGTAGTAGCCACAGGACCGCTTTGGTCATACACGGAGCTCGTCGACACAGGATGGGCCCCCAGACTGTGATTCACATGTGGTTGGGGACCACGGGTGAACTTGTTCGGAAAGGAGCAGGAGATTATGTCGAGACTAGCCAGGCTCTGAGGCGACCAGGGTCCAAAGTCGCGATCGTGCGTGGTGCTCTGCGCGTTCTCGGGTGTCGTTGGACGCCTCGCAATGACAATCGAGTCCCCAATGTGTCCAGGCCTAGACAACTCAGGCCGAAAATCCGACGCTGCATTCTCTGAAACAGGCATGAGCCTCGTAGACTGGGGCGGCGCTGTGTAACGCTGCTCCCAAAAGGTGGGATCAAGTGAGGAGTCCCGGTGCCCGGCCACACCACCAGGTAGTATAGGGGAGTCTATCGCAGCTCCATCATCGAACTCGGGCCCATCCCAATAGTGCGAGCAGACTCTCCGCCAACATTTCTTGAGCTCGTCAAGTGTCTTCAGCTGCACCTGGTATGTTGGGGCTTGCTGTAACAGATCATGTACGAGTTCGTTGAGCAGCTCGCAGAACAGGCGTCGAAGATCGTAATCGACAACGAAATCACCCATAAAATAGTTCAATATCCAATGCCGCAAGGCAACAAACGCCCTGACGTGGACAATCATGCCGGTTCCATCGTTCCGCGCAGCAGCCCAGCGCAGACGAGCGACAAGCATGCGGACAAGTGCGTCAGGTTCAAGGAAGGCGCGATATGTCAAGAAAAAGTCAGAAATCAGCTCGTAATCGAGGAAGCTTGGCGATGTTATCTCGGCCACCAGTCGGGGTGGCGTAGCAGCCGTGACGGCGCCAGAGGTCGGTGAGTAGCGAACAATCGTCCGATCGTCGCATGCCGGTTTGAAGGTCAGCTCATCGTACATTGGCGCATCGATGACTGTTCGAGCAGACATGAAAGTGGCACGGAGTGGGTTAGAGGCCTTAGGCGGCACGAGGCCTGTTGAACGGCGTGTCGTTTGGCGCGAGAATTGAGCTTGTGGTATTTGCAGAGTGCTTGGTCTCCTGGGGCCAAGGGGCGGTAGAGGGAAGTTGACATCACTATATGAGCGGTCGAAGACTGATGCCCGCGCGCTCTGAGGTTCGTCACTCTGTGGGCCGCTTTGCGCGAAGGAAGGGGCATATGAGGAGCCCCGGATCAGAGGTGTGCCGGTTGCTGTGAATCTTGGTGTGCCAATCCGCCAAGAGGGTATGGCGATCTCGAGATGGGGCAGCGCCTTACCGTTAGACTCTTCGGTGGTCTTTGGCCTTGACGGGTCACCAGGCTTGGATATGACTATCCGGAAGGCCCCGGCATCAGACTCATTGGGGGTGAATTCGTGGATGGTGCTGTCAGACAGCGCTCTCCGATGTCGAATTGGGCGTGTATCCGGCTTGGACAAAGGCATATCCAATGGCCCGTCCATCGCGGGGGAAGGTCGAGGCGTCGGCGTCCATTGGCTTTGATGAAGGTCGCTGTCGACATCTAAAGCACTACGAGCGTTGCTGAAAGTATCAAGCCCCGCGGTCCCCGGTGGGGTGACGGGGAATGTGAACTTGGGCTGAGGATATCTTTCGTGTGCCGGTCTGACCGTGGGCCTGGAATGTGTTAGCAGACCGGACGCTGCGATCTCACAGGGTTTCCACGTGGACCCCGAAACAGTTTGCATACTTGAGAAATATCCTCCCATTATTCCCTACGTTGGCGACCGCGAAATGGCGTCCGCTTCGACCTGCAGAGCTTCCATCGGGGGCGATCTCCCAGTTGTCAACTTCGGCGTCCCGCTTGACCTTGTGGAGCGTCTTGTCTTCGTGTGGTCTGCGCTCTGAAAGGGGGAGCAGAGGTCTGGCAGATGCTGCGTTTCGTAATGATTTCGAGGCCTTCAATGGGGAATGGTCCTTTCCAGCAGCACCATCTGCAGGGGATTTGGGTGATAGCCTCTGCGCCCTGAGCTCTTTGGTCGATCGCTTTGGTGATATAGGATTTCGTCGTGGACTCGTTCGCGCCGTGGGCACCGAGACCCAACTCGAGCCCGCGGGCAAATTTGGGCATACCTGCTCGTCCACGTCCATATCCTCCACTCGCGACGGCGTCACGACCGTCGTAGCTAAGGTGAGCTCGTGGTGCTCGCTCGGTTCGCGTCTACACGTGACATTGAGTTAATACGCGCGGTCGTCCTCCCAAAACAGCGGCCACAAAGGGTCCAAGAAGAGTTTCCAAGACAAACAAGTGTCTCATTCAACCCATATCACCGTCCACCAAGACGCGCTAGACTACACGTAGTCATCCCAAGGCTGAGTGACGTCTGTGATGGCCAACTTGGGAGTCTGGGCGGGCTGAGACTTGAGTGGATGGTGGAATGGGTCCAACAACTAGTTGGCGGACTGATCAGGGTTCGGAGGAGAAAAGTCACGTACGTTGTCAAGCCATTCGGGGGCGTAGTTGACAGCCGAGGATTAATGCATGTCCACGGAGTGTTCTGGCAGTCCAGTCGTTCAAGGAATCGTGAGGCCGAGGAAACCAGAACCAAACAGCAAAGGCACAATCTGAGCCATGGCGGGCGCGCACGGTTTTTGGCGGCGGCCAGCCCATCATGGCCCATGGGTGGGTGTTTGCTTGCCTTCCTTGGTTGGTTGCAGTGTTGCGGTGGGTGGGGAGGCCAGTTTAGGCTTGACCACGGTTCGCGTCGTCCAGTCATCTCTACGCACTGTACAAGTATTGATTGTCCCCGCCCAGATTTGGCTCACTGCGCCGGGCCACGCAAGAGCCGCAAGACCTAAGGTAAAGTGTCAAACATTGAATTGCCGGCCAGTTGGGTCCCGAGATCATACGCATACATCATTGTGTTAACTCTTCGCCCCGGTTTCAGTGTCTGCCTGGGCGATCCTTTGCGCGTTCCTGCGTCAACGCGTCTAGGCCCAGGCACAGCGTCGGTGACACAATCCTGTCATTCCCCTTAAGGGCCTGTGGCCGGTCCCAGGCACTCGGTTCATTGTGATCACTTGCAATCAATGAGGTGTAACTTGATTTCACGGCAAAATTGATTACTTTCGGAAACCCTCCTGTCCATCGTGATATCTTTTTCCGGCTACTTACCTGGCAAACAATCATTTGGGCCTGTTGCAGACGCCAGAATTGGAACACGCAAGACGGCAACAAGGAGGTGTCCATCCGGCACATGCGTCCGGCGCGCCAGGTTCTGGGAAGAGCACTGTAGCGAGGCTGCTCAGAAACGGCATTAACGGCGTGATCATCGAGCATGATGTTCTCAGGTCTACCCTGCTCGAACCCGCTCTAGGCTTTGATCATGCTGCGAAACTCGGCAATGACCTACAGTGGATACTCGCCCAGGACATTTTATGAAGCAGGGCTTGAGCGTCATCATCGACAGCACCTGCGACTTCCAGGAGGTTCTCGATAGGGGATCTGCCCATGCTAAGCAACATGGCTACTCGAATTGCTATGTCGAATGCAAAGTTTATTGATGAGTTAGACACGAGGCTGCGCACGCGAGACCCTATGGCAAGTCAGCGAAGCGTTGTCGACCAGCCTCCCGCTTCAGGAGATGATGGACTGAGAGTCCATGCCGCCCAGAAGGCAATGTTATGATCTTGGACTCCAAGGATGACCTGGAGACACTCCAGACTGCATCCTGAAGCAGGTTGTTGGTTCACGGCTTCTCAGTCCGACTGGAGTCTGTGAGAGCCATCCGTGAGGGATCGCAAGGAACGACATGTCAGCGCGCACTGTGCACCTGGCCTACTTCCGAGTGGTCGGTCGGTTCATCCCTGCTCATCAACTGAAGTCATCCCCACTGAACTTCTACTAATGACCAGCCCACGCCCTCTTATTAACACTGCAACCGCAGTGACGGGGGACAAGAGCGCTGCTCATCAGCTCCAGAACCTCGCGAGATAACAACGCAAAGGGGCGGGTTAAGAGAGAAGAGTCAGAAGAAGAAGAGTTAGAAGAAGGAATCCTGGTGTGATGCATGCTGCAGACTGCAGTCGCGGAACCCATCTCCCCTCTTTGCGCGCCTCGAACCGTACGTCTGGCAGCTCATTGGGCGCACTGCGGCCATCGTGACCATCCTTGTCGCCGGACGGTATGTATTTATGCAGCACGCAGGCCCAAAGTACGGTGTCCGATGCGGCGATGGGCACGGTGCGGCTCCTTCGATCACTAGCATTGCGGCATCAGCACGTGGGCTGAATGAGCTAAAGTACTCCGTACCTCACGGATACATCATGCCAGAGAGACGGACCTAGCGTCGTACTGTAATTTGTACTTATCAGAAATTGCAGACAGCTGTCGTCTGGGCCTCCTGCGACAAGTCTCTCCTGAAGGTGTGACTGCGACTCATGCGCACAGACTCGTTACTCAACCGGTTCAAGTCAGCCACTGACGCCGCCGTCTTGAATGACGTACGAATGTGAAGCAGGTCGCCAAAACGACTGCATAAGAAAGCAATAAATCGCCTGCATGGCTCAAAACTTGCAGCATATATTCAGTTGTGCTACAGTCTTACTCGCTGGCTTTACAATTGGGGTGAGAGCAGCAATGAGATCACTCCTGGTGAGAGATCCACGAACCGTCGTTACGTGCTGAGAGCGTTGGGCGTGTGCCGTTATTTATTGGTGCTGGCCTACAATTCTTCTGATCCCTTGAGACTCGACCACATCTGATTCCACCAGGCGACAATTGGGGCTGTCGGTCAAATGGTCAGAGGAGACACGTACTATTCAGTTTCATAAACTACATTACACGCAGCGAGCGCTCATGCACAGTCAGAAGGGACGAGACGCATCAAGTTGGTCAAGTATTGTACCAGGAAACATTAGTGAGATAACGGTCAAGTCCATCCCATTGGCCGCACAGGGCTTTCCCTCACCATCCTCTTCCAAAACATAAGTCGGAAAAGGGATGAGTATCTTTCCCTCATTAGTGCCACCAACCGCGCGAATACAGCCCGGCACACATGTTTCCCTGAGGAGTACAAAGAAGAGATATTTTTTGCTTTTGATGTAGAACCTGATCCGAGCCCAACTCCATGTAGCAGCAAGCTTCGTTTCTTGCGTCTCGTCGTAGCGGCCACAGTCCCTGGCAAAGAGTGTATCATGACTACCGGGTGTCGTACACGGGCTCCTCCCCATCCGGAGGAGCAACGTTCTCCTCGTCAGAGGACGGGGCGGTCTCGGGAGCTTGGACACCCTACCACTGGGTCTCCTTAGCGGCCTCGTTGGACCACTCGGTGGCGGGCTGGCCGGCAGCGGCCCAGTCCTCAACACCAGCGCCGGCAGCGCCGTCCCAGTTGCCAGTAGCGGGGGCACCAGCGAAGCCGGGGGCGGGAGCCTCCCAGTCGGCACCGGCCTGCTGGAAGCCGGACTCGATGGCGGCGGCACCCTCTTCCTCAACACCGGGGAGCTTCTCCTCCTCGACCTTCTCCTCAGCCTCGGCCTCAGGGTCGCGGTCTGCACGGTTAATAAAGATACATGCCATTCTTCCGGGAAATACATACAGAAGTACAGATCGGGCATGACGTCCCAGGCGGTCTCGCGGTTGTAGATGGTACCACGGAGGCGCAGGACCTCGCGGGCCAGGAGCCACCAGATGGTACCGATGGCGTTGCGGCCCTTGTTGTTTGTGGGGATGGCAACGTCGACGTACTCGGTGGGCGAGTCGGTGTCGCAGAGGGCGATGACGGGGATGTTGACGTACGAGGCCTCCTTGATGGCCTGAGCGTCGGTGCGAGGGTCGGTAACGACGATCAGACGGGGCTCCTTGAACGAACGGGTGATGTAGTTGGTGAAGGAACCGGGGGTGAAGCGACCGGCGATGGGGGAAGAACCGGTGTGGGCGGCGAACTTGAGGACAGCACGCTGGCCGTAGGGACGGGCAGAGATAACGCAAACGTCGGCAGGGTTCTCGATGGAGACGATGATGCGAGCGGCAAGGACAATCTTCTCCCTGGATCTCAAAGTCAGCAATTGTGTCGCCCAGTAGCTGGCGCATGGCTCCGAACATACCAGGTCTTGCCAATGTTGATCACGTTGACACCATCCTGGCGAGTCTTCCAGAGGTAGGGCTCCATGTGAACCTGGAGGTTCTTGCTGCCCAGGTGAGCCTGGGAAGCGAGGAGCATCTCAATGTCATTGCTGGTGGCATCCAAGACGGGGGGCAGGTTGTTGGGAGCCATGTTGACGGTTGTTGTGGTGGATGAACCGGTTGTCGTGGGGAGGAGGGAGTGAGGTTGCTGGTGATCGTGGAGGGGAACTCAAAAAGTTCGCGATATGCCGTCTGGATTTTTGCGCAAGGTGTGCGTGGGACACCAGTGGGAGCCCTCATGGCGCTAGATCGTACCTGGTCTAGTGTACTCTGACCTGCGACTTTCTGCAACCTGCACGTGATGAGCGAGCTAGTCCTCTTTGGACAACGCGTCAAGGCTTCGTAGGAACGGACTCGTGATTGCAGTGCAGAGCTGGGAAATTTTATGGATCGATCGCTTCGACATTGTATCATTCCGAGCAATTGAGGTGCCCGCCATGGCGCCCAGAATACCAGCGCTGAGCGCAAACTGTATGTATGCCAGTACGACTTTTCGAAAACCTTTCTAACCAGGGTAGTATGCCTCCGCCCGGTCACGAAACCGACAGTCCCCAACTTCCTACCCATCACGCAGACGGCAAACCTTTCGCAGCGCGAGAAGAAGCGCAAGGCTAAGCAACACCCGTATGCCTGGGCTCAGGCGCAGCAACGCAAGAATGCCAACTTGAAGCGCCAAGAGGAACTTAGGCAGGAGCGTCGAGTTGAAGGTGACAACGATCCGGTCAGGGGCAGGACGACAGCCTTCCTCGATTCACTCGAGAATGGCGAATCCGCTGCGGCCGGCGCTGGCAAGGGCCGGTCGATGGCGGAGCGCCGCAACTTTCGACTCGCCGATGCCGAGCTCAAGGATGTCATGCAGCATGCGTACGTGCTGAACAAGCCCATCCACCACAGTGTCGCGGACGGGACGGCCATGAAGGGTACCGTGTTCCATTCTGAGAATGCGGAGGAGCTCTTTGCTGAGCACGAAAGGAAACACAACCGGGCTTCTGAGGCGTTGAAGCGTATCACGGCCATGGAGAATGCGAACCAGAAGCATCGTTACTATCACAACGTCCATCGCATAGTCGAGGAGTTTGGCCGACACAAGACCGACAAGTCTTTGAAGAAGCTTCCGAAGAACGCCGAGCCGCCACAGGAAGCGAACATGAAGGCCCGTGTCTTGTCTTCGATCTGGGATGCTATGCGGCCCCTGAGCATCCAGCCACCCCTGGTGAGGGCCGGCCCAGACACCGGCAGCTCGGAGGTGCAAATTGGACTTCTCACTGCGAGGATTAGGCGTCTCGACACTGTCCTAAAGTCCAACAGGGGCTACAAGGATATCCAGAACAAGCGGGCGCTGGAGATGCTGGTCCACAAGCGACAGAAACTGCTCAAGTACATGGAGCGCAAAGAAAGGGGCAGTGAGCGGTGGACAAACATGCTTGACAAGCTTGGCTTGACCCCAGCGTCATGGAAGGGCCAGATCACGACATATGGGAGAATTTAAGGGCCCGACAACCTTGTAGAATACCTGTCCTTTTTATGTACAATACGAAGCCATCTGGAGCCGGGACTGGTGTCTATCCGTGTCAGGATATTTGCTGTGTCCACCTTTGCGCCGAGAATTTGTATCTCCTTCCAATTACTAAATGAGACAATGCGCTACTTCTACAAAGCGTGATGCAAACGATGTGTAAAGGGTTAGGGGGGTATGTTGCAAGATCAAAAGACACTAATAAAGTTGCCGATCCTGTCCTTCTGGTTTTGCGCTATGCACTCGGCGATCCAAGTGATGTTGCGGATTTCCTAGTGATTGTTAGCCTGCGGTCAGCACAAGTGTGCGTACCACTCACCTGCTCTCTCAGTTTCACCCACGCGTAGACAACGGAGTGTGTGAACTGCCTCGTGAATGCATTCTTCGAAATCTCCATCTCCTTCTGGTAGAACAAGTCCTCGAGAGACTTGCCATCAGTCGAGCCGCCGCCCATGTTTCCGGGTCCGGACGCACCGCCACCAATCGAAACTGCGTCAAAGAAGCTCTTGTAGTCATGGACGCCATCGACGGCCAAGCGAACACCCTCGGCGTCATCAGCCCGCGAAAGCATCAGCGTGCCCTCAGGGTACAGTTTTCCAAAGTTGGGATAGAGCTTCTTACGCTCTGTCTTGGCCAGTTCCGTACCAAAGGAATTGAGTGTGATATTGATGACACGGCGGTCCGCCTCGAACTCTAGCATCTCAGACATGACATCTGCCGTCGGCGTCCCAGCCATCTCAGGGTGGCTGTTGACGAATTGATAGAAGTCCTCCAGGTAGTTCTTGTAGAGGGTGTTGCGCACAATCTCAATATTGAGCTCGTCGAGATCCTGGTGGCTCAGACTGCCCTTGAAGTACGGCGCCAAAGGTGTCTCGATCAGCACGCTGTTGTAGAGCTCCTCAATGTTGGTCGCAACGCAGAGAACAGGCATGGTCTCGAACCAGCCGAGGGGGTGGCATCGCTCGAGGAGTTCGCGTGTGTCTCTTTCGTGAAGTGTGCCAGTGATGAGAAGCGCGACGTTGTCAATCATGTACCCGTAGGTGACGTAGTCCATAAAAGTCGCAAGCGAGCCGACGGCATTGGCACGAACGTATCGAAACTCGGAGATAAGTTTATCAGTAGTCTTGGATGCGAGGCTCGATGTCGAAGGGTTCGGTGGTAGGGAGGCCAGGAAGTCGCCATACGCAGGGCCAAGTTGGAGCTTAAGATCTGGAGCGGTCAGCCCGTGTCCTCGAGAGGGCATCGTCAAACGTACCATCAATGGTCTCGCACTGCGTCAAGTTGTTGTAGGCTGGACCAGTGAGGAGGCTGTTGCGGTAACCGCGCACAATGCCCTCGACGTAGCTACTTGATGTTAGTGCCTGCGATGCAAGGAAGACCACGGAACGGAACGTACCCATTGTTGACATTGTACAAAAGACCTTCCATTTTCGTTTCCAAAAAGGCACCAGTTCAATTCACAAAGTGATGTACAGGAACCTTGAGATGGCCGGCTGATGCTGCAGTTGAAACAGGCTGCTGTCGAGGACGGACGTCGTTCACCTGCCACAGTTGAGGCGCAACAGGCAGGCTAACGCCCCCGTGCCCACGATGACGGTCGGTCGCTGGCGCCCAAGGGACTCCACGTGAGTGGCTGGGGGTTGGGCGGAAGATTAAATCTCCGAACGCCGAGTCTGTGTCCCACCTGGCCAGACTGGCAGAAAGTGGAGTCCGACCCGGATTGGAGCTCGCCGCCGACGGATCAAACTTTCGAAAAAAAGTGTGAAAAATTTCCCAGTGATAATTGTCAAGCGCAACCAACCCACCACGAACCATCCTGCCTGAACTTCCTCCGCGCACACACCACTTCGACTCTTGTGCTTGGGAAGGAAGGAACACGACGTTATTCCCCAACGAACGAGGCAGGAGCTGTAGAGGGTTTAAACGCGAATCACGACTTGCTTCCCGCCGCCATGTCGCTCTTTGTGCTGGCTGAGACGCCGGCAGGGTAAGTGCATACCACCTCATCACCAATTGAGCCTTCAAGTACTGACTCAATGCCTCCAGCTATGGTCTGTTCAAGTCCGCCGACAAGAAGCTGCTCAAAAATGACAACCTCGCCGAGGAACTCGGGCGTCCCGAGAAGTTGGTCGAGATGTACGTTTCGATCCGCCGGTGAAATTTCAAGCATCTGATTGTGATTACAGGTTGAAACTGAAAAAGTTCGTCAAGTTCGACAGCGCTGCCATGGCCCTTGAGGAAGCTGCTTCGTTGAAGGAAGGCAAGATTCCCGAGCTTCTGTCGACCCTCCTCGAGGATCTCAAGTCCGAGAAGAAGGCTTCTCTCGCCGTCGCCGACATTAAGCTCGGCACCTCCATCTCAAACCTTGCCGATGCCAACATTACCGCTGTCGCCGGCTCAGATACCGTTGACCTGTTTCGTGGTGTGCGTGAGCACCTGTCGTCGCTCATCCCCGGCCTCGAGACCGAGAATGTCGACCGCATGGCCCTGGGTCTGTCGCACTCCATGTCGCGCCACAAGCTCAAGTTCTCCGCCGACAAGGTCGACTCCATGATCATCCAAGCCGTCAAGATGCTCGACGACATTGACAAGGATCTCAATGTCTACGCTATGCGCACCAAGGAGTGGTACGGATGGCACTTCCCCGAGCTTGCCCGCACGTTGAACGACAACGTTGCGTACGCCCGCATTGTTCTCGCCGCAGGCATGCGCTCCAACATTGCCGAGACTGACTTGTCCGAGATCCTGCCCGAGGAGCTTGAGACTGCCGTCAAGGCTGCCGCGGACATCAGCATGGGCACTGACATCACTGAGGCCGATCTCGCCAACATCAAGTCCCTCGCCGAGCAGGTCGTCGACTACTCTCAGTACCGCTCGGAGCTCTCCTCTTACCTGGAGAGCCGCATGCGCGCCATTGCGCCCAACCTGACCACCCTCGTTGGCACTTTGGTTGGCGCTCGCCTGATTGCCCATGCCGGTTCTCTGATCAACCTGGCCAAGTCCCCCGGTTCTACAATCCAGATTCTCGGCGCCGAGAAGGCTCTTTTCCGCGCTCTCAAGACAAAGCACGATACACCCAAGTACGGTATCATCTACCACTCGTCGCTCATTGGCCAGGCCACAGGGCGTAACAAGGGCAAGATTGCACGTATGCTGGCTGCCAAGACAGCTCTTGGTCTCCGTGTCGATGCTCTCGACGAGGAGATCGATGAGAAGGACGAGGAGGAGCGTACCGCTATGGGCATGACCAGCCGTATCAAGCTCGAGAACCATCTCCGCAAGCTCGAGGGCAAGGCACCTCTTCCTCGCGGCACCAATGTTGACCCCTCTGGCAACATCGCCGCTCCCGGACAGTTCACACTCAAGGAGACTCGCAGGTACAACACCGACGCCGACGGCGTGACAGAGGAAGCCAACGGCGAGACCCCCAAGAAGAGCAAGAAGGACAAGAAGAAGAAGATTGAGATTGTCGAAGAGTCTGATGACGAGATGGCCGATGCCAACGGTGCGGACGACAGCGACGACAATGCAGCTGCCACAACCCCTGCCAAGGGGGCCAAGCTTTCCGAGGCTGACTACGAGCGCTTGGCCGATGCTGCGGGTCTCTCTGTCAAGAAGTTCAAGCGCAAGTACGAGCGTGGAGACGTGGCCCTGAACGACGACGGTACCCCTCGCGTGTACAGCAAGAAAGAGCTCAAGAAGCTGCGCAAGGCCGATGAGGGCTCGACACCGTCCAAGGCTGCCGCTGTGGAGACTGTCACTGTCGAGAAGAAGAAGAAGCGCAAGCACGACTCGGACGACGAGGATGAGGTAGTGGAGAAGAAAGAGAAGAAGCAGAAGAAGAAGAAGCGCCAATCGACCGATGCCTAGGAGGCAACATGGACACAGAGGCCTAGGCGGGAGTGAATCTTTTCTGTTTCTCATACTTTCTTGTACGCTACGTGGATACCTCGAGGAGACAATGCTGTCTCGATGTTTCTTGGTCACGCCGTTGGCTCTAGGCGTTCCGGATAGGGTGTTTCTTTGGCATTTTTTATCTCTTTTTATGGTGGGTCTGGGAAGGCGTGGACAAGCAATCTTGCTTCATCTGATTAACATCAGTTCAATGTCTCAATGACACATATTCAAATAGTAGTGATCTTGGCACTACAATGTGAGTTCTGGAGTGTTTCTAATTGCATCTTGACACGGCGCATGGTGAGAAAAAAAAGTAATCGACGATAACGTATTTAACAGCTAACATTGTGCAATCCCGCCTCAAGCCAGCAGCACAAAGACGAGGAAAATGACTCCATGTCGACTTCCCTCGTATGTACTGCCACAACTGTCCTGCCGGTTCAAGGTATCATTTGGGTATCATATTTCGGTCGTAATCCAATCGTAGAACAAATCCCCCAGCGGCCGTTAGTATTAGCCCCATCTCATCGTTGCGTACATGGCACGCGTTCGACCATCCAATACCGTCCAGGGACTTCCTCACACTTAGATGTTCTCAACCACGCGGGCGTTCATGGCCGACTGGAAGCCAGGATCCTGCTGTCCGTCGCCGAAAGTGCCGAAGCCCTCGCCGGTCTCGTTAGCCGACGCGGCGTTGACGGCGGAGGACATGTTCATTGTCTGGTTGGCAGCGGGTAAGAAGATGACCTTGCTGTTGGCCGACTTGGCCATGGCCTGCATCGCCTCGAGGTAGCGGATCTGCATGGCGGGCGCGGAGCTCAGGATATCAGCGGCCTGGCGCATCAATTTGGCGGATTCAACCTCAGCCTTGGCGGCGATGACCTTGGACTCTCCAATGCGCTTGCTCTGCGCAGCCATGGATAGAGACTCCTGGAGCTCCTGGCTGAAGATGATGTCCTTGATAAGCATACTCTCCACTTGGACACCCCAGCCGGCGGCGACATCTTCAATGATCTCTCCAATGGACTGGGCCACCTCCTCGCGACGCTCGATCACGTCCTGGAGGATGCGCGCGCCGATGACGTGGCGCAGAGTGGTCTGGGTGCGCTCGACAAGGGCCTGGCGGACGTTGGAGATGCCAAAGGCAGCCTTGTGGGGGGCGACAATGTGGTAGTAGATGACCGAGGTCAGGCGCAGGGTGACGTTGTCCTTGGTCATGCAGACCTGCTCGGGGACCTCTGCGATCTGGATCTTGACATCGACCTGGATCAGACGCTCGGAGAGAGGGTTGATCTTGATGAGGCCGGGATCGACGGCCTTGTAGAATCGACCAAACTTGGTGACGAGACCGACATTGCCCTGGTTGACACTCTTGTATGGGTTGGGGCAGACGATGCAGCAGGGGATGGCGCCCAATGTACCAACGACGGCGCCAAAGGTGTTAATCATGCTCCCGTACCAGCCCTTGGGGCTGGCCTCGGACGTGACGGTAGTTGCGTAGCTGCGCTGCAGATCCTCCTTCTTGGGAGGCTGGACTTCCATCTTGTTGGTGGGCTGGAAGCCGACGACTTCCTCGGCTGCCTTGGAGGACGAGCCCTGCCCGTTCATGTTGGGCGCGCCCGATGCTCCCGATGCTTCATCCTGCCCGTGTTGGCCGTTGTGCATGGTGGTGCCGTCTACTGTAGAAGCCATTGTATTGATGAGAGAGGGGCGTCGAGCGGTTGTCGAATGACTGGATCCGGATAGAAGGAGTAGCCAAGAAATTCTATGCTTGTCCTATGTTCGGGGGTGGTTCGGTGGAATAAAGACGGATGTAGAATTGGGGTCAGCCATGGGGTGTTGGTGAACTTATAGCTGGTGCTTACGTCTCCCTTTGCTGGGCTGTTGCACTACGGTCGCCTTGTCAATGATGTGACTGGAAGCTACCTAAGCTCAGAGGCGCATGCGGTGCGGGTGGCATGCGCATGCGCCTGGCCTGACCTTGCCTTGCAGGGGTCCCACTCGCACCCGCTGGCCGGGCTACGAGTATTCCGTGGACCGTCTGGTACCCCAGTGCTAGTGCTGACTTCCTGTCAGTGGACATAACATCCGGGCGTAGCGACTGGGCGTTGTTCATGACTTCTTGCCCCCAGTGACGTCGAAATTCGCCAAGTACGTAGTAGCTATAATCCTGCAGCATTTCTGAAACTTCTACGTGCGAGTATCCCACCGCGAGACCGTATATGATCACCTCCACATGGCAGGAGGCGCATTGGGAGGAGAGGAGGAGACTGGAGGCAGTGAGGCACTACAAATGTGGTAGCAGGGGTTTGTTGGTCTTGGCTTCTTGTCACTAACTGCAACTGGAGTACGTATATGCGACACGCGGGGATGCTGTCCCCAGCCTATACGTACCTATGAAGTAACAGCCTACCCTGGTAGTCAACTGGCCAGTGATTCATTAGATGCCCTTTCTCAGTCACCTGCCCGGAAGCCTAGCAATACTATGTGCTCGGGAATCAGAAAAAAACAGTTCACAATCTGCGTTCTTTATCGGAGAGAAGCATTGCTGCTGACTGCGCGATCATCAGTAGATCATGAATTGGTATTTTGATCAATCCCTAGCGCCCTCCATCTGCCTTTACTTTACCTCTTGTGAAGTGAGTCCACTCACTCCATCCCAATTCCGAAATCGATGACACCGCCACTGCAACATTGTCCAATCAACGCCAGTCGCCGAGCCAAATAGTGAGGATCGCATCCCATCCAATCTCCATGGCACCGTACCAGAAGCTCGACCATCGTAAAGCACGCGTGACCTTGCACTGCCTCGCTTCCGGCACTCAACCCTCCTCGGTGCCTTCTGTTCCAGGCGATGGCCGGGCGATCTGCTGGTGAGTTGGGATGTTGGGCTCATCTCCATCGCCCATCTCGCATGGACATGTCCCCACTGCTCGCCGACAGTTGTCATCAAGGAGTACGTGGATAAGGGCTAGTTGAGTTCCTTTCCAGAAAGGGAAACTGGTTGTCGTTTTGAGGACCCCCGAGAATGCGGCTACGCATCCTATTGTCCAGAGTCATCTCGGGGTTACTTGCTTGCAAATTTCACCATGACGCTAGACATGTTCGATCCTCTCTCGTGATAGAAGACACTGTGGCTCCGAACAATGTGTGCACAGTCGGGTCGCGGCACCTCGTGTTACGCGTATACCTACCGGTGTAAGTGCATAGAAGCCAAGTTGTACCGAACACAAAACACCAGCTACTTACCTATCTACGGGTTCCGTGGTCTGCTACTCAATCACGTCACAGCAGTGATTACATGAGGCTTTGTAATTAGCCCAAGCTTCTGTCAACACTGCACTTGACCGCAGCCTTGTGGGCATCCCCAATTTGAGTACGGAGTACGGAGACCTGCCATTCGTGCACTCTGCAACTCTCTTCACCTCTAATAGTATGCATCATTGGCAGAGACAATGCCTGTATGAGTCATCATCTGCCATTTTGTAGCTGGACCTCGGCTTGGTTTGGCCTCGCACCCTGGGCCAACGGTTCAAACAAGGATTCGCAAACTCACGACTCAGTTTGTGATATGCTCAATGGCCCGGTAAGATACTCGGGTCAGTCAAAAGTCGGAAAGCCGGTATTCCTTCATTGCTGATAGATGCCGTACGTTTCAGAGTTGGGGGGGGGGGGGGGGGGGGGGGGGGGGGGGGGGGGGGGGGGGGGGGGGGGGGGGGGGGGGGGGGGGGGGGGGG